GTTATGCATTAGCCTCTAATGATAGCCACAGAAGCGGTCACTATTTTTTTTTTTTGTGATTCGTTCTTCTTAATAACATTTTAGAATTTAGAACGGTCAATTAAACTTCTATATCCTTCGTTTACTATTCGATACGGCAGTGTTTCGCTGTCTAATAAACTGAAGCATTTGAAGTGTCTGTCACGTGCCGACGTAATTCAATATGGAATTAAGTTGTAACTCGACCAGAAACTTAACAAGATCTGAAGTAAAGTCTTCATTATGGGTAATTATAAGTTAAAACGGACGACGATCACGAAAATATGCGGCCCAGACACCACATACTTGAAGATCCGACATGGTGGTGATATAGGACACATAACGATCTTTTTGTAGCCAGAGGTCTGGGCTCTTTGGTTTCAAAAAGTTGAGCCCCATTTGGCCGGATATTATCTTTATCGCGTGATGCAGGTTTAATATTTATTTAAATCAGTAAAATATCTAGGCCTGAAAAACTGTTGCGATACCGAAGCCCCTTCCCCAAAATATTTTGTGCAAAATAAGTTCAATATACAAAGGAGAGTTGTCACTAGTTTGCATGACGCATTGTCCTGCTTATACGGTACCATTCATTTATTCAAATGTTAGCTGAAGAACCGTGACATACAGGGTGTCCATAAAGTCCCTTTACAATTTCCATTTTATTATGAAGTCAGTTCTCAATATATCCTAACCAGGTTTGTTGTTTATTCTTCATTTATTACATTCGTGATGGCCAAAACAATATAAGATATCGATACATTCTCTTTGCAATTTTAAAAGATTATAAGGACACTCTATAATATAGAATACACAGAAATGCGTACAAAATAACTAAATATATAAATAGAAAAATTTCGATTTTGATAAAAAGTTGCTATGCTCAAAATTGTTTTGCTGGTCATATCCGAGTTTCGTTAATGTCAAATGTGTTATAATAGATTCCCAGTTACCAGCAACCGCAATATAACTATGAAAAATACCGATGGCGCCTCTGGTGTTTTTGGTACAACAAATCATATTTTGACAACACAGCGTCGCTATTTGAAGGTTGTCTTGAATGTCATAAACAACATCTATGGTAAATGACAAGATTAGACGAACAAACAGATATTAGCGCCCACACAGACACAAACGCCAAGCCCCTAAGACAGAATTGAAAATTACCAAGAATAAGGATACTTTAGTAATAATTTAGTTCATCCAAATGTCCTAGCAGAGGTTGGATCGCTGGAATTAACTATGTTTGAATCGCAGGCCAGGTCAAAGAACTTCCAAGGCCATAAATCTTCCGGGGTGTAATAAATTGGGTATACAATGCCGAAACGAAATGATCATGACCCTTCCATAAGTAGTATCTACTTATTATATTAGTGGCTACTTGTACAAACCGGTGTTTGTAGTGATAACTTATGAAAAGAAGTTAGAGGTAATCGCACAATGAGACGTCACTTTGTCACATGTTTGCGCCCCGTATTCTTCCAAACTGAGATAATGGAAATAATAATAATATCCGTGTTTTAAATAAAAATGATTTAAATAAATCGATCAATATAACAACGTTTTTTATTATGGACCGCCTTGGCTTGAAGTTAATATAAAAAGCATTGGTACAAAATAAGTTCGAAACTATACTCATTACTATGTTTCTGGTACTTTCGCTATTATGATTCGTATTTAAAAGATTCTATTATACCCCAGGGTCATTCAAGTTCAACTCGAACGAACAGAAAGTTCATAATTCTAAGATTCAACATTGCGATGAATCATCGATGTGCGCAAACATTCAAACCTATAATGAAAGTTGTAAACGAGCAGTAAACATAATGACATTTTATTATGAACAAATAGACAGAACTGGTCCCAAACACATGGGCATATATTTCAGAAATCTGATAAAAGGCTTTGGAATTGCCCATTTATTTTTATGGGTTTTACACGATCGCCCCGAATGAGAAGTTTTTTTATCGACCAGACCTGGTAGCCTGATTAATCGAGGCTTGAGCACGAGGATCGGAACACACCCCGACCTTCAAAATGTAAAAAAATACATTTTCTTCATCATATGTAGCGATTTTTCATAACTTTAAACGCTTTTTAAACCCACTGGACTCTCGAGAACCCACGTTTTTCGACCGGATCCGCTAGCTGATACGGTCTAACTAGGCTATTAGAAATTTCAAGGTTAGACGAGAACCTGGTACCTCCCGAAAGCAACAAATGGTCTCCGGTAATTCGGGAATGCACGTTCATAGTAACCATAGAAACATCGAGCAATATTTAAAAACAAACTCGACTCGGTGACGCACTCTGACGTCTTCATAACCTATAATTTTCTAGCGATTTAAATGTGGTTTTACGAGTATTTTGATAAGCAAATTGACTGCGATTTTACTAGTGTCTGAGAACACCATTTATTGTCAATCTTACTATTTATATATTTTAAAAGTCACGGAGACAATAAGGGAGTATTCTCTCTCGAAGTATTCGTTCCAAGATGGCGCACAACCTGAACATAATATGTGTGCCAGGCTAGGGTTCAGGGTATGCGTCATCTTGGTACGAATACTTCCGGAGCGCCATAAAAGGTGTACATATAATCTTGAAATTTTTTAGAATTACGAAGGGAATATATCGATATCATATATTGTTTTGGCCCTCACAGATGTATTAATTTATCACTTTCAAGGTTTATTTCCATAACCTTTGGCGTGATTTTCTAAACGACGCAATTAACGAGTTTTTGTCTCACTGCGCTATTTCAAACCTTTAAATGCAGGTGCTTGTCATGTCAGTTTAAAATAAGATACGACTGTAACTCTATATGCAGAAATAATCGCATACTTATAGTCAAGTGCAAATGGTCTGGGAATCGTAGTTCGGGACCTTAAGAACCAAAATCTTTGTCTTCCCAAATTGTTTGATTCATGTAGTCCCCGACATTCTAGGCGCGTAACAGATCGTTTTATTCGCTATTTGAAGTCTTTGCCTTAGCTGTCGACAAGTGAGACATCTGAGAGCCACATTATTGCAAGGGTCGCTGAGAAAGAGATATAGATGGGTTTCGCACTCAAGATTAGGATATCAAGTCAATATGTGGTTGACACAAGGTTAATTTGCGATTTGGAGCGCGGTCGAGTATTTTGCATACAATATAGCAGTGGTTCCCAACATTTTTTCAAGAAACTCAAATTTTAAAAAAAAATGATTTTGTAAAATATAGCAACCCAGAGATGTGCCCAAATACTAAACGTGTAGTACCTTTATGACCAAAATTAAGTGAATAATATAAAACAACCCCTTTAATATAATATTATTTGGAGCTCCAGATGTATGTGCACAAAGATGGCGCACATCCTGAACATAGTATGTGTACCAGGTCAGGAGTCAGGTTGTGCGCCATCTTGGTGCACATACTCCGGGAGCGCCCATTATTTACCCCGGAAATTACTATGAGGTGAGAAAACTGCGCGTGTTTGCCATCAGCGAGTTTTTGAAATAGACGCGTGGCTTTACTTAAACAAAAATAAGTAACTTTTATGTTTTTTATTAAAAATGACAAGCGACCCAAGAACATTTTAGGGCGGCCCAGATTTAAGTCGGGACCCATAGGTCGAGAAACACTGCATTATTGGACATTCATCGAAAAACTTATCAAACAACCCTTTCATGTTTTTTAACATTTTTAATTTATAATATAAGACAGGACTTCATTGTATGAGTTTATTTTCAAATAAAAGTCAGGAGCTCTCGAATAAAAAGGGGCAGAACAATAGAAGAGTTACAAGCGACTCCGCATGCGCTTAAAACCATAAGAGCTGTATATTGTCCTTGTAATAGATGTACATAATTAGTAGATGTTTCGAAGCTTTTTGATAGTTTAATCTAGTCTATTTTACAGCCCATGCACATATCTTAAATTTAATTCAATTCATTTATTACACCAGACCATCCTGGTCTATATCAAACAACACAAACAAATCGATGAACACAGGAAAATACAAAAATAGCACAGTATATATAAATATCCCAGTAAAATACCAAATATCAGCAAAAATTTGGATTGAAATTTCCTTCTTTAAGAGAGATCTTTATTTTATTTAAAGGCCTTTTTTTAGATGCGGTTGTTATGACCGTCCTCCGTGGGAAAATTAGCCACCTAATGAAATGTAGGTATATTTATGAGGGTTCAACTCGGCCAACCTATATTGAATGTTTTTATCTCCGTATTACGCTTGACATATATTTGGATTTAAGTGTCAGATCTTAATGGCCGGAAATGTTGAAATTGACACTTAAACGGGGTTAAGTCTATTTTTATTGGGTGTCCTTAAATCTTCACGACTCTGAGAGTCCTTGGCGGATATTTGAGAACCCTTGGTATTTGTCCTAAATAAACATATTGAAATACAAGTAAGGAGAGTAAATGATTAAAATTAAAGCGATAAAATGACGCATAACGTCATTCAGAGGGGAAAAAATCTGAATTTAACGTGATTATGTTGTTTGTGCGAGTTTTCGCGTTCAAAAAAGACAAAATGCGTTTAATATTTAAATACGACAAATAATATTATTTCAAAAATGTGTGTTTCAAATGGAACTTCTCGAATAATTAATTCCAAGAGGCGGAAGAAGTCATGTTTATATAAATGCTTACTGTGAGATTGAAGAGAAAAATGATAGAGCGTTGTCTTTACGATTGAGAATGTAAAACAAAGAGTTTTTTATGTCATTTAAAAAAAAAACATCAGAATTACTTCTTTGTCAGCTGACATGGCTGCGCAAATGAGGTTTGATTGTAGATATTCGAATAATTAATAAAAACATATATCAATCTATTCGAAAATAGGAATTTCTGACACAGAAACTAATGTAAACGAGGACATTAGATTTCTTATTTTTGTGAAATATATAGTCACAGAAACGTTTTCAATCTATTGCTGTAATTCAGTTAATTTTATGACAAATTATTTTTATTTCAGGCCTTGCGCGGATCTCTGGTATTTGCTGCTGTAAGAGGGGAATCAAAGCGAGCATACATCGCCATTGATGATATCAAAGTTCATAAATGCAAAGGTTTGTTTTGCCTAAACAATTTACCTAAAGGTTGTCAACCATATTATATGAGGCATTTCGCTTTATACACTCATATTATTCGCAGGTTAACTGATTCTCTAAAAGCCCTGACACGGCCTGTTTATTCTATTCTAGGTACTTTTATAGAAAACCCTGCGCAATGAACAAAACGGAATTTTATTTTAAATCATAAGAATTGTTATGCAACCCCTCATTCTTAATAATATTTTAAACATTCACATACAAATATATAAGGATAGATCATTTTCAGTAATTCAGTAATTTTTCACTCTCCAGGATCACCGGATTTAACGAAACCGACCAATACTGGGATAAGAGAAGGACCGACTGGAGAAGTTCTTACCGGTAGTCAGTTCGAAGATCCGAATGACCTGTTCCGAGTGCTTGCTGCCCACAGACCAGTGCAAACTAGAGAGGTGAGAAACGGGGATGCTGTGTGAAAATTGTAACATCTCACGAACGAATGATAATTGATTTGAAAACAAAACTCATTATTCAAATATATTATTTCTTATAAAAGTTTTATTTCTGTACATTAGGACGTATAGTCAGCGATTTGTCGTTTCTTGTTAGAATTTGAGATTATATTTTTTCCACTCGGGCAATGTTTGTTCATGGTAAGGGTAAGAGAATCCATTCGAAATTGAATGAAACTCCTCGCAAGTAAAATATAAATCAAGATAAGGGGAAATAAATCTATCGAAATATGCGCTTTCGTTTTATTCTTATAACTCACTCACTCATCTTTTCATTTTTAAAGTTCTCACTGGCGCCTGGACAGTTACATGACGCAACAAACCCAGCCTCACTTCCAGCCAGTCCGAGGTTTCCACCTAGCGCAAGAGTCAGCAAGAAACGTGGCAAAGGCAGATCCCGAAGCCACCGACGTAGAAAAGGAAAAGGAAATAAAAAACTCAATAACTACGGAGTTGTCTACTTTACAGGTACGTACGTCGGTTGGTTTATGGCTGTCAATAGTAAGTAGAATTCCTACTGAAATTGCGTGCAGAACAATTGGTCACATCTAGAAATCTATAAAAGTATAAATCACTTTATTTAATAATCTAAATAATCTTTATTTATCTAATCTAAATTTACTAAATAATCTTTATTTAATTTAGAGTACGATAATTTATATTTAAACCTTCACAATCTTGTCGAAATAGTTAAGAAATGTCATGGAAAAAAATTAACACTTTCGATCATCTGTATTCTTTACGAATTACAATAATTTTATTTAAATTGAATAGTGCTACTAGCTACCACTAGTAAATAGTATACCCAAAATATCGTTCGGGTACTATGTATAGGGTGTCCATAAAGTCTTGAAAAATTTTAAATTGCAAATGGAATTTATCGATACCATATATTGTTTTGGCCCTCACAGATGTATTAAATGAAGTAAAAATACTTACATATTATAAAATAACAAACCTGGTTAAGATATACTGAGAACTGACTTCATAACAAAATTCAAATTGTAAAGGGATGGACACCCTGTATTTATATGGATTGTTTTGGGGATCAATCTAGAACAGTGAACAAGAATGCTAAACCGCGTTTATCCGCCCAAATGGGCAATGCAAATATATATGTGATAGAATTTTTTCGTGTGTGGTTTACCCTTATGAATGATTATTGCACTGTTTGATGATGATTGCCGCCAAACGCGAAGGTAGGAAGGCATCTTCTGCCACGTTTTGGCTGTGACAAGCAGAGTAGTTTTTGTGTTTTGTGTGGGAAATTTTTGTTCGGGTTATCATTGTCCACTTTAAGTTGTATTTTTGATATTAATATAGCGTAGTGAATGTTTTTAAAAGATATAAAAAAAAATGCGACATATAGCCAGAGTTATATTATTTGAGTTCGGTAAAAAGCTATTCGACATGTGAAAAGTGGGTACCGGATGCAAACAATTAAACATTCTACAGCGAGTTATATCCAATCTAATATTTTTGTCACAGAGGAACCTGGCCAACAAAGTACAGAAGAAGAACCGTTTGTTCCCACATTAATAGCACATGCACGACCAGATGTTATCTGTGATTTCATGGAATACACACAAGGACTAAAGAAATGTCTTCGAAGTTATTTCTCAATGTTAAAGCAACACAGATCTAATACACAATGCAAGTACGTACCTCCTTTTCCTTTCAGTCTGTTTCTCTCAAGTGGTTCTTTTCCTCTGTCAGTTTCCCGTATCGGATTTCCCGATTAATTGACCATGCATTACAAGGTGCTCACGTACTATGTGTACCAGGTTAGGGTTGGGCCATAATTTCATTCTGATTTTGCTTATTAGTTCTATTACGAGTTCTGGACTGTCTGTGTTAGTCAAGTAATAAATATACCCCCTGCCCATAAGTTTCCGCCCCTTTACACAACTTGTTGTAAACTAGGTGAACAAAATTAGTTATCTCCATATTGGTACACATACCTAGAGCGCTCACTACAACCTTACGAATCCGCCCGTCGAAATATAACCTTAGCCAGAAACGACAGAACTAAAATGCATCTACACTCGGACTGAGTCTGAGCCACGCAGGCTTGGCAATGGTTTCATTATAGTGCTGTGATTGGTTGGTGATTCTTCGATTGTTGTGTCATAATATGAAAATGGTCATTATGATAAAACATGAGCAGTTTTCCAAAGTCATGACACTGATATCTAATCTAAATGATTCAAGAGTATTGTCGCACACTAACAGAAATGTATTTCTGTAACGTTTCGTCTGATAAATATCAGACTTCTTTAGACAAAGACAATTCAACTGGCTCGGCTGTGTGGCGCTTCGTGCCAAGCGGGTATACGCTCGCCATTGCACCTCTGATTACACTGCGTGGGTTCGAATTCCATGCGAGGTTAATTATGTACGAGAGGATTGCTGGACTCCTCGCCGTCGTAGGCTGGTTCACGTAACCGCTGGTCGGTTAGGGCTTCATCCACCTTCAAGTCCATGCATTTGAAAACAAATACCTGGCTAACTAATCCCATCCCCGACATGGACTGATAACCGGACGAGAAGCTGTGGTTCGACATATGGTTAAGCCTTATTATCGGCTCTCTTCTCCCCTGGGATAAATATGTAAATCCTATCCTAACTATTTATATTTAAATTGTCTTGCAGTGCCCATTACTTCGAACTGGAAACCTGCCTACTAACAGCGGCCACGAAATGTGTTCCTTCTCACGACATGACGAAGCAAGAAGTTGAAGAAGTCGTTACCGACACTCTCCGAAATAAATTCAAGACACAACGAGTGAGTACGAGGCTTCATTTGTCTTTCAGATTAGGATATTTATTTTGCTGTCCAAAATGCAATATAAAGCAAAAAGTATACATTTAACAAGTTTAATGAATTATAAATGATAGTCAAGTTTATTTAGTACCATCCAGTTAAAAATAACATGCAAAATTTAAATTGATAAAATTGAGCACCCATTTCAATGGGAAAAGGAAGCCACGGGAAAACCAATGCTGTTTATCAAGCAGCGACATCCAAGGTTACAATATCGAATTAAATATTTGTTTGCAGTCTAAAAATATAAAACGGAAATAGGCCTCCTCCGGGATAGATATATAAATCCTATATTATATATGGCAGATTACATGATAATTTATTAAAGTACCTAAGCGATTGACAAGAAGCAGTTATGTACAAGAAATTTACGCTGATTCGAATTGTTGCTTGATGGTCAAAACTTGGTAACGCGTTACAGCGTAAATAATCAACTAAGTTCACGGAAATTCCGGCGCTCCCGTAGTATGTGCACCAAGATGGCGCACATCCTCAACCCTGACCTGGTACACATACTATGTTCAGGTTACGTGCCATCTTGGTACACATATTACAGGAGCACTGAAGTTTCAACATTGTAATTCCGATCTGTTAGCCTGTTTGCCGAATAAATAAAATAATCTCAATCTACATATATAATTATACAGGTATACTGTTTTGAAGAAGGGGCATTCGTATACCCAGAGTTCTCACTCGGCTCGTTGCCTCTCCAATGTACAAAGCAATACTTTCAGCAACTCACACAATGCGGAGGATCGTTCGCAGGAATTTTCAATTTCAAACACGGAGATAAAAGCTTGTGCAAGTAAGTCTTCGATTTGGTTTTGTCTACCATAATTTCAGCCTAGTTTGATTGAAGATTCGCCAGCCAGTTATCCTCAATGTGTTCCTAGAGTAATTTTAATCAATTTTCCTGTCTTTGGACTGAAACAATTGTACGTCTCAAAATAAGGCAATGTGAATAGTAGTTATTCGCTGGCACGTCATCACAAACAATCTCCCAATGAAACCTTGTTTCCTGTCATCGCGGACGATATTTACTGGTTGCTCTTTTGAATAACACACTATTCGGATCATTTATCCTATCACGTCAGGTGTTCTTGTAATTTCTTTCTCAGCACTTCAAGATATTTATTTGAGCAATCTTATATGAAAAAGTAATACTCATAGTTAATAATATAATACTGTACACTCGTTCATTCTGATTTACATTTTGCCGATTATTTTTGATAGCCCTACCGATTAACCCAATAATATGGAGAGTTTGTTAAAACAAAGGGGAAATTCGCATTGCCTGTTTGTCATGAGTAATTAGTAGTTTATTTTCACACTATACTAAAATACATTTTTTGAATAAACAGTACTGTTGATGATGGCTAATAAAGCCTTGTCAGGCAACGCCCTAATACTTGATTGTGCTATTATGTCTAGTGATAACGTGTCACAGTTGCGTCACTCGCTAGTTGGTTTTGTTGCTGTAAGCATCTACCTGTGGGTTATTCTGGTGTAATAAAGAAGTGTAAGCGTATTCAGTTGAATCCTTATTCTATAATATCTTGGGTGTATTACCAAATACAAAAAGAAGCAAAAAGTTACTTCAGGATGGAGGCACGAGACACCATTACCCAACATTTTTTGTTTCTGTTTCAGGGAATACTTCACCGCGAACGAATGCCAGAGGCGAACAACAGCAGACGAATGCAATTTCGACACAAGATCGATGTTGGTGTACGGACTCAATCTGCAATACCAGTTCGCACATAACCCATTCTGTATAGACCTTCCGTTTAGTGCGTGGTGGCCAACTTCGTGATTTGGAGAAATTTGACCTCTGAACCAGGAAACGGAAGGTCAAGTCTAAGGTGTACATGAAAAAAGGCGAATGCTACTCAATACCTCTCAAAGGATAATCACCCCACAATACAATTTGACAATAAATAACTGTAATCTATTTTTACTAAGGGAGATAAGGAGTTGACATTGTCTATCAATGCTAATAGTCATAACCAAGTTTAATTTGATTCAATAATTTCCAGCCAGTGAAAAATAGCGTACAGAATTAATAGAAATAAAATTTGTACACATAGATTCACTGAGGAGGGGACGCCGCGGGTAACCAAAGCTGGTTATCCAGCAGCGACAACCTAAAAGTCGAAGCGCCTCGTATAATACAATCCAAATATTCGCGCCTCCCTAATAATAATAGGAAGGCGGATTATCTATGAAAGAATGAAACACACGAACGGCATGCTACACGTCCTAAAATTACCGATTTCTGTATAATTTGCATGAACTTTGTAAAAAAAATTATTACATTATTTTGTGCTCTGGTCTTTGTTACTGGTGATGTCTCTGTACCATTCGGTCATCGAAAGATGTACATTTTAAATATAGGTGTCATTACGTATGATATGAGTGGAAGTTGAATAAATCAGGAATATTTTGTACATAAATAACATTTGAGTTTTATTTGTTTGTTAATAAAACATCTGATCACAAAACTGATCTGCGGTAAAATTTTACGAATGTGTCAGGGGTGGGCAGGGCGGACTGACGGGCCATGTAAGTGTGACGTAAAAAGTTACTTTCAATGGACAATATTTACAGTGTTGCAAAAGGAAAAGTGGAAAACAATAAGCCTTGTGCCAAAACTAAATTTGATTGTACTGTAATGTCAACAAATTCCTTTGAGTTATTTTTCAGCTAAAACATCAAAATTTGGTTTTAGTTTGATTGTTGCAGCATCCAACGGCCAGATTGAATTACCAACGGGCCGGATTCGGCCCGCGGGCCGCTGTTTGCCTATGTCAGAGTATATAGCTATGTCATCATTGAAGGATAGATATCCCGGAAAATTCCCGCCTTTATCTACCACAGTCGTTGAAAAGATTCCCATATTTATTCCCGACGAGTCGACAAAAGACCACGGCCAAACTTTTCTGCTGCCCGTAGCGAGTTTTGATAATGGTGCCCCTTATTCCTAAGTTCAGAAATAATTTTGGGGCTAAACAAATTATAAATGTTGTTGTACGCGAGAATAAATAAATTAAAGGTGAATCATGAATGAAATATGAGTAACATAATCTCTTAAGATATTATGTTACTCATATTCATATATTCATAATACCATCTCGTTCAAGCGTCCTAAATCATCAACCAGAGCAACGAACTCACCCTATAACGCCTCTCATCTTAACGGCTGATTCATTTTCTTTTCGTCGTGGATGAAACATTTTAAACACAATAATAAATCAAGTAATATAAAAAAACAGACACACAATGTTTCGGCTGCAATTGGCGAGGAGTCGCGAATGACAATCAAGTCATCGACACCATAATTGCTGATTTCAGCAGCAGATGACGTCAAATAATTTAATTAAGTTGCCTCTATGGCCCCTGATAATAGCTAACCGGGCGTTATAACTTACTTCGAACAATTAGTGCCAGCATGCTTTTCATGTTGGGGGTTGTTTCCAAATTTCGGGGGTGGCAGATATCTTGCTATTAAAGATAAAATATATTTCTAGTTTATACGAATGTGATATGTAATTGACTGACCATCTGCACAAGTATATACGCCACGTTATGGATATTAAAATGCAATTATATTCAAATTGGGAGTTAAAGTGTAGTGTCACATCTCAAAATAGGACAGGGTGTAGGGAAATCACCGATTAGTGCGAATATCGTTAGAAGGGTGAATGCGAGGATGAGATCGTTGCGCATGAAAGAGTCGATAGAATTGTTTATATTGAGGAGTGGAGAGCCTACGAGACACCGTGGATATTAAACGGAGCAGGACCATTCGATAGGTCATCACATCAATTTACCATATTCTCAGACCTTGAAATACCTATTATAAATGCCCGAAACGAGTAAGATATTTATTATCATGACACAAATCTTGCCTAGATTTCTACTAGTTGTAAGGTTGTACTTGCAACAAATGAATAACTTCAAAGAGAAATTGTCGAATATTCCAATTTTTCATTCCCCTGAAAACATGTTGTTGTTCACTTAAAAATTGCAGTTTCCATGTTCCCCAGAGACAACTATTACGCAACTAGGGTTTGGTTGGGAATGCAGATTTCGCTGGAAATTTGAATTTTCAAATTATTCCCAACCTGGCCCGATCCACAGCTGCAATTTGTTGTTTTAAAACGTGGCATTAATAAAAATGTTGAAACGTGTGTTTTATTCATATCTCACATTTGGGGGGGGGATTAAATTTTTTTGCCAGCCGGTTCCATCGCAAAAGTCATAATTTTCACCCTGTTCTGTTACAAAAGGCATTGACAGTAACTAGTAATGCTAACCGGTTCGCTGATCTCATAAAAGACGGTTTTATGGAACCGGCTGAATCCCACCACTGGGTGGATCCCCTATTTCAACCCTAGACTTGCTACCCATTCACAAACCAATCCTATAAGAACCGCCAACTGTATCGGAAATACTAAAATAATTCAAAATTAGAGGAATTTAATAAGGCTAACAACAAAACAAATTCGTTGATAAATACATTTTAAGAAAAAATTGCAATTCATTAGATTTAATTTATAAATAAAAGATGAATATATTGGTAAACGGTTACTATTGATATAAAACTACAGTCTCTAGGAATGTCATCCACAAAAATAGACATCGGACTTTGCAAAAACGTTGGGATGGGCCTAGAGGTAAGATCGAACCCAAAAATTCCAGCCCGGCCAGACCCCGTGGGTATTAAATCCGAATTTTCTTTGTTCTTCGAACTCCACACATAGTTTAGTATATATATTTTTAACATATATATAATTGAAAAAAAGTCAGTGATAGAGAAGACCGACCCGGACATAATGATTGATATTTCAGGCTCAACTCGGCCCGAATATTGGGTCGGGCTTCAGATCTTAGCTCTAGATGGGCCTATGTTAGCGATAGTTCATGGACTTAATGAAGAAGACCCAGTAACGGACCGGTTGTTAAATCCAAGAAACTTTGGCGAGGAATCAAACAATCTCATATTTATCTTTGCAGAAATCAAAACAACAGGAACTAATCAGTGTAATCAGCGACCTGGTGGAATCAACCCACCAGATTTATAACAATAAATTGCATATCTTATTTAAGTACATAATACACAATTCTGGCAACATAATTAACTTTCTAGAAATCAATTTGTCGGCTTCTGGTAAGCTGATACAGAAGCTCAGCCGTAATAGTGAATACAAAACCAAATTATATATCTGAAGGCATGAACTTGGCTGGTGGAAGGTGTGTAAATCAGGAATGTGCAACCTTCAATACAGGAGGCCCAGATACAAATAACTAGGTGAAATCGTGGGCAGGCTTTCTATAAGTTGTGGGCACAAAAATTTTGGGTATTGATCTTATGACATTCACTGTTGGCTACTCACAAGCTAGCTGTTACGTATCTATGGAACAAAGCAGGGTAATCAGTCATTAGTGGTATAATGGCAAGCACTCTCGTGCCACTTAGCATTCTGCACCAATAATCGAAATTTATAAAAATAAATTGCACCTTCCAATTGGTTACACAATTATAGAGACGTAATTAACTTTCTAGAAATCCATTTGCCGACTTCTCAATATCTTTCCAGTCATATATTCTTTTAACATCTTTCTCAAAAAAATCAAACATTCTACCGTCATACAGTCCAAATATACCACCAGTATGTACGAATAATATTCTATCTCCTTTGAAACACTTCCGATTTACATTCAGCTCTGAAATTAACCCTTTAATGCCCTTCCCACTATAGACAGGGTCACAAAATATTCCAGTGGCTGCAGCCAATTTACGATACAACTCGTGGTCTTCAGGAGTTGATATTCCATACCCAGCTCCTTTATAACCTTCGATAATATCAACAATGTCTTCCGAGCGAGTCTCACTGCCCAGTCCAATTTCTTCAAGCATAGAATTAATATGGCCATGAAAATAGGCAGCGTCGTCGCAAACGGCCACTGCATGAATTTTAAGTTTCCCCCCAGTGAGATAGTTACCGATCGATATGCCTGCGATTGTCCCTCCGCTGCCACAAGTAACAATAACATCGTCAAAATTATCTTGCACTTTTTGATCTAACAATTCGTGCCATGCATTGAGGTAGCCATGTAAACCCACACTATCCGAGCCCCCAACACAGATTAGATACGCGGGCTTTCCAGTCTTCTTCAAAATAGCTTCAGCTAAAGCCTCTTGTCTTGGTTTTAAATCTGTCTCGTATTTAGCACGTTTCGGGACTAAATATACATTCGCATTGCACATTTGAGATAAAAATAAATTCCCACTGCTTCTTATTGCGTCAACATCTTCCTCTGATCGTAGCAACAGATGCGTTTCTAGTCCAAGTTGAGACGCAGCAACCGCAGTTGCACGACAATGGTTCGATTGTAATGCCCCACATGTGATAACAGACCCACATCCTTTTTGAATCGCATTTGCCAGTAAAAATTCCAGTTTTCTTACTTTATTTCCACTCAAAGCAGCTCCAGTCATATCATCTCTCTTCACAAATAATTTAACGTCCTCAGGTAGTCCCGGAACTTTCCAAGCATGTATAGGTGTCGGTGTTAACGCCAGTGCGGCTCTATGTGTTGGACATTTTTTCAGATGTTTGCACCATGAAGGCGGACTGTATTTGTATATTTCATTATAAGATACTCTACTCATTGCTACTAAGCATTTAAAGCTAAATTTCATCTGAATAAGAATAAATGAAATAGGTAAATATAAGTGCATTTTGTCAAGGTTTGAACTAATGAGATTTTGCAGAGCCTGAAGCCAAATAGGGGAACACACACCAAACTAATCTCTGATCCAGTGCTCGTCAACCGAGTGTATAGTACAGGCGTTCCCAAGCTTTTTTCAGGACGACCTCAAAGACAACTTTCAAGTGTCCAGTGCGACCCCGGGTCAATATATATATATTTTTCATGAAACTTTAGAGCTTCTTTCACTGGACTTTTGAGTTTGGTCATGTGGTGGTATTAAGTAAAATAAGCTAAAACCAAACAGTGATGTCATAATAAACTTCATAATTTTCAATAACAATAGCATAGAGCGATGCCTATGGGCCTGTTTTACAGTAAGTAAGCCATGCTACAAACTGCTAAATTTAACATGGTTTGTCAAATCTTAGATGAGTTGTACATCCATCCTCTACCATACCTCAGCGACCCCATGACCTGGTTGCGACCCTACCTATCACTTCGACCCAATTTGGGGTCGCGACCCCTGGTTTGGGAACCCCTGGTATAGTAAGTAGTACATCACAGGGTGTACTATGTAGATACACCTAATGTGAGGGCACTGGAAACGAGGTTATTACCTCGCTCTGCACAAATGAATTGTGGAATCCAAGAGCAACATCCACATTAACTGAATAATAAATTATTGCATCAACATAAACACATAAACAATAAAAATGTTAGATGGGCGGGGTGTGCCATTCCAAATGAGGTAAATGAGCACTGCTCTTATCTCATCTCTAAAGTTCTGAGAGAAAAAGATGATTTTCATAAAAAACATACCGTATTACTTATTAGACCAGGGGTGTGTGGGCCAAATGCAGCCTACAAGAAGCCTTGTGCGGCACAGGGAGAACAGCCAACTAACAATCACGAACTAACACAATCCCAAAAGTTAAAAATTTTGAACAAATTTCCAGCCCACAATATGACTCAGATCAATGGCAAATCCAGGGGGTCAAGGGTCAGAACCCCCTTATTGAAATATATAAAAAAAACTTTTTCTGTATCATACATCGCATGCACGCTAGTACATACACAGCACCCTAGCTGATACGATCCAACTGAGAAATTAGAAAACCCCCCCTAAAATTCCTGGCAATGCCCCTGGCTCCGATATTCGCGGCGTAGGTATGTTACCAGAAAGCTTTATGGTGACTCTGAAGAGACTAAAAAATATTTTATTTACTGTGAAATTCACAATTTCCACACTGGAAAATATTCAACAAGCTTACTATTCCGATTATTCAAATATGAAAAACGAAGGCATTATTCTAGAGAAAAATATAAGGATGCCATAAGCCCATAACATTGCAGAAAATCTATATTGCCTAAGAAAGATACAAAGTATGCTGTTCATTAGCTATTTTGTGGAAATGAAACTCAAAAAAGTGCAGATAAGAATACAAGTTTTATCAGTTGATAAGATGAGGCAGGAATCATAAAAAGTAATGATAGTACACAAATATTGATACACCATTATTATATATATATACCAATACAAACACCTAGATTATAATAAAAATTCATTACTCAAAATATGAATATATAACCATGAAGAGAGTTGATTAGGATACTAACCATGATTTAGTGCAATAAGTATAAGTCATGTATTGTTTTTATATTAATAAAAAAAAGTGCTCGGTTAAACGTGAAGAGAATAAATCTTACCAAAAGTAAGGAAATTCATCAATTGGGCCCCACTGGCAATCAGTATCACTCAATACATACTCAAAATAAAGTTCAAATTTTTATCTGGCTTGTGGGAATCGAACTATTAAAAACACACTGAATCATAGTTTCCCTTGAGCAGCCAGTTTTATTCGCAGACTGTCTGGCATTTCTGGTGGTGGCGGGCGAGGTAAACGGAAATAAACTTTCACTGAATCATAAATAAACCACTGAAGGGCAGTGACAGTACCAATCATGATAATACGAGCTGTGAGACCTTTCCAAATTCCGACTGGCCCTAATTTTTTAAGAGCATCAAGTGGAGAGCTACCAGCGTCATTATTAAGTACAGACACAACCGAGTCAGGAGGATGAGACCCAATAGCGCAGAGTATGCCTGCGATGTAACCAGCGACAAACGTAACAACCAGCTGCTCTGGCTTGCTGCATTCATCTCTAGGTTTTGGCACAACATACTTGTACATTGCCTCTACTGTTCTCTCAAAACAAGAGAATTTGATCATGGTATATGGAATTTGCCTCATCCAAAGTGGAGGTAAACCTTTGTAAAAGGCAGTAATACCCTCTTCTTTCCACATTTTCGGAAAAGCTTCACGTAAAGTATTTGCAAATCCTGGCTGAGTTTGAATTCGTACTTTACAAGCTTCCATCGGTGCCAGAGCTATGTCGGCAAAAAATTCAGCAGAAGCACTTGCCGCCAAATATAAACTTGTTCTCCATAAATATGATTTTTCTTCACCCAATAAATTCCCATAAAAATTCTTGAAAACTTCATAAAATCCAAATTTGCCAAGTCCTTGCATTGAATAACCGATAAAAGTAGGTGCCCATCCTTTACCTAGGCCTCGAATGCCTTCTTCTTGTATAGAGACTCTAAAACCGCTGATAATCCCCCTGTATTTATCTGGCTCAACTTGTATTCTGCATTTCACCAAATCAAGAGGAACCATGGCAGTATGAGTTAGACCACAACTTAGAATCCCTCCGAAGCCACAGATGGCATAATATTTTGCCGATCCAAATTCACAACTATTACCAGTTTCCTCTACTGATAGTATTCTTGTATCTGCAGGAGCTTCAAGTTCTGTGAATTTTGCCTTTTCCTGGCATATTGCTTTCATATTAGGCATGCCCAAGGCATTCCCATTTAAAATTGAGTTGACCATATCTTTATTCCTGTATTCCGTATTTAAATACTGAAATACTAATATAGAAAAAAGCATAGATGTTAAGTTGAAAGGCAAACATAGGATTTTCATATTTATCTCAGCGTAGAGTGAACTGGAAAGTCAATAAGTTTGCTGAATGTTAATCCAGTACCGTAACCATAGGCAAAGCAAAGTTTAATTAAGGTGCATGTCATTTACTGTCTCAATTTCCCACAACTTTCACAAAAGGTTTCCGATTTTCCACAAAAACAACCACACAAACAAAATGAGAATAACAGTAACTCTGTAACTTACCGTAACATACAGTCAAAATGTATGACTATCATCGCCACCTCGCCACTTATATCTGTATATGCTGCCGATGTCTTCATTGTCTTGCTATATCGCCTTATTTGTGCAAGCCTGTGATGTCATTCTGATGTAACGATGGTGCAATTTTGATGACGCGCGCCATTACGTCCTAACATACGTCACGAATTAGCGACGGTACTTTTCAAGTTCTTGGCGTTGAACAATTACCATAGCAGACCTGGGAGAATTGATTACTATCTTTGCTACACGACGTTCTGAACTTCTGACTAAAATGAAGTGCGGCTATACACGGATTATACGCTATAAAGTATAAATAGGTACATGTGATTGCGACTGGGTAACGATAGTAATACACTTACCAAGGTACGGATGATTACGATACTGTAATTCACGCGGTTCGATTTGAAATGTAATTTTTTTCAATGGTTCAGTATTATGCATATATAATAATTACGTATTATACAATATTTCACACTATCCAACACGGAATAAGTGAGGAACTTATATGGTTTTACATAGGAATAGTGGTTATTATCGACGGTTACATATGGCCAATCCTATATACAACCCCCACAAAATTCTCAGAAGGCTGAAAAAGTCACCGTGCGATTGCATTTTGTAAAAAATCGCCGATTGTTTTTATCAGTGGGGCGTAGGCCGTAAACACCTTTACGTTTTTTTTTTTTTTGGGAAATACAAATCCATTGCCAAATTGGATAAACCAAAACTATAATTTTTATAAAAACACCTTTACGTTGGTATTTATTCTCCTAAATCACAAATTGTTGTTGTTCCATGAGCAAGATGATGATTGCTTTTTCGCACGGAATTTTGAGTAAACTGTAAAAAATGAGTTGTTATAGTATATTCATCAGCGATGTGATACTAAAGATGAAATAAAACGAATAATAAAAACGTAAATAAAACGAAGGGAAACACAATGAGTTTTGTTTTAAGAGATCCGCGTAAATCGCACAATTTGTTTGGCTACCGTTGAACAAACATTATAAATTTATTAATATGGTGTGGCAATCATGGATTAAATACTTTGCCCGTTTGGGATTTTAACGCAGACGCTTGGGTTTTTCCAACGGCGATATTTCAAAAGTAATTTTGAGTGGCAGTCAGCGCTGAAAAAGAATAATTCAAAGTTGACAAATCCCAAGGTTGCAAAAATTCGAATCCATCTATTCATAACCGGGTATAGTGTATCGCGTATTACATGTCCACAAGTTTTCATAGTGTTTTAGAGTAGTCCTCCCTTTATTTTACCGTAAGTCAACGCAAAGGCGATAATTATTCGCTGAAAAAATGTCTATTTTAAAGACTGGAGTAATCACGGCACTCGATTTAGAAGTTATTGCACGGGAATTTTTGAATTCCCATTTTGGAACCTACCTCATCATTATTCTCCCCCCAATGATTGATTGATTGATAGTCCTCCCTTTATTTTACCGTAAGTCAACGCAAAGGCGATGATTATTCGCTGAAAAAATGTCTATTTTAAAGACTGGAGTAATCACGGCACTCGATTTAGAAGTTATTGCACGGGAATTTTTGAATTCCCATTTTGGAACCTACCTCATCATCATTCTCCCCCCCCCCCCCCATCATTTTTTTTTGTAATTCTGGCTACACCCCTATAGGGACCCGACACTCGAGTTTTTTTTTGTGCGAATTTCGTTCATGTAACGCTGGTGGGTTACGGCTTTTTCTATCATCAAGTCCACACATCTGAAAACAAATAACTGGCTTACTAATTCTATACCCGACAGGAACTGGTAGCTGGGCAAAAGGCCTCAAGTCAACTTTCTTCTCTCTTGTATATTTATATTCTGTCCTAAACGATTTCTTTATGCACGAAATCGATGCTTGGAAAAACATTCATTGTGTTTGTCTGCTTTTTGAATATATTTTTAATTTCGTTCAATCCCTTGGAAGCATTACTTTTATCATTGCTAATTGTTTTCAAATCTTTTCAGAGCTTTTCGAAAAATTTTGTTGATTTTGAAAAAATGTATTTTAGATACCGTACCTATATAAACAAGTTTTGTCTTCAGGTCTCTAGTCGGGACTGAAAACAAAGAACAGTTTTCGAATTACATTTTATTGAAAATTAACTTTATTGGAATAAAACTAATACAATGAAATATATTATAGTGAAAACAGGAAAGGGGAATTCTGATGTTAGTTCAGGTTTCAGATAGTGCGCACGTCCGTCTTCCCACCGTTGATTTTCTACATTGTATGTACAGGTGCAAATCTTGTGGTTTGCGGCCATAACCGTATACGAAGCCGACATCTTATAAATATAATTAATAAAATTTAGCAAGTCATCGGCTGTTTTCCCGCAGTGGAAAGATTATTTTTGAAAGGAGTATTGTGGGAGGCGTGGTTTGGTTGATGACTTGAATTAGGCCTCAAGAGGTCGTGTGTGAGTCACCGAGAAATTACCTCCTCCCACGTACGACTCACAAGTTCGCATTTTAGTTCAACCGCCTTAAGTTAAGTTTTCTTTTTCATATTTGACTTCAACCTTCGAATCAGTAGACTTGGCAAATTTATGTAACTACTAATTATATTTCTAGAATGAATACATATTGATATTGATGGCGTGTATTCTGCAGTGTAGAGCAGACTATTATTTCCTTTAATGACGAGGAACACTTGAAGTTACCGGTATCTATGGATTTACATTGTTTACTTAGATACCGCGATACCGGTACCCCTATAAATAAATAATGTTTTCTGGAATGGCTGCTTATGGGGTCTGGTGTAGTTTAGTACCACATGTACTTCTAATTGGCTTGTGTCATCACTACGACGTTACTGTGACTTATCAAGCCCCTCCTGAACTAGATACAATTTATGCCAGTCTCACGATTTTTCATTTTAAAAATTTTATTTTTTTTTAGTTGTGTTTTGTATTTATGGTATATTATTTCACCAATGTCTTTCATCTTTTTATATCTAACCATGGATAAGAATTCTGATATTTATTTTCATGTTTTTATAATTTGGATTGTACACAAGGAATTTAATTCTTGGTTGTAATAGCAAAATAAACGTATAAACATTTGTCTTTTTCACATCCTCCTAAAATTAGTTCCAACTGGGCTGTTTATTTTTTTCAAGTTATATATTATTATTCAGTAATCGTATTATGGAATACTCTTATCAAGCTCCTGATTGCTTGCCAGGACAGAACGATCTTATAGACTTCAGCTCAGATAGCAGCGTGGGCGTTCACAATCAAGAAGAGGGTGAGATCGAATCCTCTAGTACTTTGACGAAAAATAGAAATCAAATTAATAGAGATGTAGTGGCTGTTAAAAGTGGGACTGGAGATATAGGGTTCGTCGCTGTCGGACGGCCGACCTCAGAAAATCCGATCACAAAACAAAAGCATCGTAAAACACGATCGAACATCGAAAAAGAGGGCTATCACTCAGATTCGTCTCCTCGATGCCCTAATGGTGGAATTGATAATCTCGGATACCAAACAATTTCAAGAAATGAATCGTATAGTTATGATGACACAGGACTTAGTTATTGCTCTGAACTTGAACGATGGGGAAATACTGAATTTTTGAACACAAATTTAAGTTCGTCTCAACCGGAGTATGTTTCTGTCGAAGGGGAACGTTATACTACAATCGATTATTCAAACGCTACTATCCAGCATGTCACAACCAATCAACCACGTAACGATAGAGGAGGACAATTTGTGGAGCTTCCGGAAACATCTGGACAGCGTACGCAAATTTCTGATACAAATCGATCGTCTCGTCAAGGACGTCAAACACCATCTAGTGATAGAGAGTCGTCCTATTCATCGCACTCGTCTCGTGGGAATTCACCAGTTGAAAACGAACCTAGTACTGAAATGAGGACATCTAGTGTCGAGAACAATGTGAACGAAACGACTCACAAAAGCACATCACCTGTACCTAAATCACCACCGTTATGCAAATGCTGTGGGCAGAATCACGGTGTTACGGAAAATCATGAATATAATTACGTCGACGAAGTTGATGAAGACCTGATGTGTGATATTTGTCTGCAACCACTGGTCGATCCCTACGATACAAAATGCGGACACACGTTCTGTTCTATTTGCATCAAAAATTATTTAAGAGTGAAACACATTTGTCCAGTAGATAGAGAAGAATTAACCAATACAGCAACTGACTGTTGGCAGTCAAGTCTGATTCTACGAAAACTAGTTAACAAATTAACAGTAACCTGTCCGCATGAGGAATATTGTGATAAAAAAATACAGCGCTGTGACCTTAAGGGTCATTTGAAGGAAATATGCCCAGGGGCCGTTTCACGGTGCCCCAAGTCGATGTATGGCTGTGATCATAAAGGTCCAAGAGCTGGTATCGAAGCGCATTTGAAAATTTGTGCTTTCAAGGATAACAACGATAAGCTTTCAGATTTGCACCCTTTTTCGGAAGAAATTGTCGTTGAATTGTTTCGACCAGAAGGTACAGCTGAGCTTGGATTGCTTATAGTTGGTGGTAGTGATACGCCGTTGCATTATATTATTGTTCAAGATATTTTACCACAGAGTTTAGCGTTTCAAGATGGTCGTATTCATGTTGGTGACATTATAATGGAGATAAATGGAGAACCTATGTTTTCAGTGATGCATGCTGAAGCTCGTGCTGCGCTTACGAAACCGTCTAATTTAATGAGGTTTATGTTGTTACGGGATGTGGACAATGAGGACCCCAGTGATAGCGTTGCTTCTTTAGTCAGAAAACCAAGCTCTTCTGCATATTATGAGGAATGTGTTGGTCTCATCAAGCCTCCGCTTGAGCAGCTCGGGATCCGGATTTCTTCTAGTGAAACGGGAGCGAAGGGTGTTTATATCATTGAACTAATCCCGGGTCAAGTTGCGGAATCGGACGGTCGTCTTCAAGTCGGAGACAGAATAATGAAAATTGGGAATACCGAAGTCGGTGATAGTACACCAGAACAAGCTGCTAGAGTTATCGGAAGTTGCGATAAAGAAGTAAAAATACTAGTGCGCCATCCGCTGGTTAAACCTACCATAGTCTGTAACGAATGGGCTCATGATTCAATAATACAAAGGCAGAAAAGTACAAACGATGCATCTACATCGATGTCAAAATCCACGAATCCGTATTCGCCACAGCAAAAGAAGTTGTCAAAATCATCCCACACAAAAAAAATAATTTCTGTCACAAAATCACCAAAAGAAAACTTAGGGATCATTGTTTCAGGAGGAAATGGGAGCCCTCGTGGAAATCTACCAATATTTGTTCAAGATGTTCTTTCCATGTCAGTATTAGGTAAAGACAAGCGAATACGTCGTGGTGACCTCCTTTCAGAAATAAACTCTATACGTTTAACTGGTCTCTCTCACACTCAAGCAATGAACGCATTACGGGAATCAGCTCAGCAAAGAGAAGTTACTCTTGTTGCTTATGAGTTAGAATACGAAGGGAAGGCTGAAGACACAGCTCTATGGGATGAACTGACTTCTCTACATCAAAATCCAAGTAAATGGGCTCCATCTTGGAAAATGTGGCTCGCTGCTACACATGAGTTCTCATCGATACGCGAGGTGGTTCTACGGAAACCTTCTTCTACAAATTATGGATTTAAAATCACGGGAGGATTTACAGAAGAACATGGGCCATCCCCGATTTTTATTACGCATATTTTCAAAAATTCAAGCGCGAATAAATTCCTGAAATGCGGGGATGAGATTGTTGCAATCAATAAAAGACTTGTGAAAGATATCCCTTATCTACAAGTCCTAAATATTTTGAAATCTGTTAACTGTGTTTCGATAAAACTTGTATCATGGCCTGGTAGTCTTCATTAGAACTCTTACTTTTTTTTATATTCTATATTGGTTAGTACACTTGTTCTTTTGTGCCATTGTTAGCTGTGATATTTATTCATGTAATGGTAAGGATTGCAAAACAAATCCAGAATTCTGCATTGCCAATTCAATTTCTATGATTTATAATGATTTCTGCTAATTTCTATGGTGACATTACCAAATTTAGAATTTTGATGTTCTTAGAAAATATATATTTGATTTTGGGTATCTCTGGAAATACAAGAGATACTAAATCTGGTGGAAGTTAGATTCTAAAGTTACATGTTAGAGACTACAGGTTCAAAACTCCGCAGAAACTTGATCTGATTTTAATACCCGACACCCCACTCATGAAATTTTGGTTGCCATTGTGCTTACGCTATAGCAGGCTAACTGAGACAAAAGATTTATTCGCAGAAATTGTTTATGGTATTTGAGGTTTTGTTTGGCTGTGGCTTGTGAGCATTCTTTGGTTGTGTTAGTATACAAAGTTTCAAAGCCTGAGGGCCAAAAAATGAGCCTAATACTTGAATCTATTCAGGTTTACTTACATTCAATTTAAAATTTTTGACTTTAAGAAAATTATAAAATCTCTGAATACCATAAAATATCAAAGGGGCTCTCGAAGTATGCGAACCAAGATGGCGGGCATCGGAATGTAATATGTGTATCAGGATAGGGTTAGGCCATAATTTTAGGTATAAATACTACGGGAGGCTCTTGGCTAGTCTTCGAACTGATAATAGGACTAAAATAAGGAAAATTGGAAAAAAATTATCGCCTAACCCTAACCTGTTACCCATGTTACGTTCCGATGTCCGCCATCTTGGTTCGCATACTTCGGGAGCACCAAATCATTGTTTATCTCAACTATCCTGCATTTCCAAATTCAAACTTGTCGAATATACACAGACTACTATATGTTTCTATTGCATATTGTAAAAAAATAATTTCCGAATACTAGAAATTTGGTGTCGGTCACTCACGGTTTCAAATTTGTGAACTACTACTGTACAGTGTGTAGATAGAACTTGCCACTTTGAGTGGATTGTTGAGTTAAATCAATGAAAATTAAATATTTCCTATCACTGGTCATGAAAGGGCGCTCCTAAGAATATTTTTGTAACATTTATGTGAAAAAGAGAAAAACAACATAAAATGAAGGAAACATCATAAACTCTGTTTGGCGCCCTTTTCCTCAGTTTCAAGTTGTTGTCTATTTGCTGTATTTCATTCTTTCAGTAAGTAATAAGATTCTACCAGTACCACCAGACAGTACCAGTATAACACATAAGACTTTATTATCTCTGTCTCCCCTGGGAAGGTATTTATAACATTTATGTGACATGTAATGAGTTATTGACTAAAATAAGGCTCATCCTTCTCTACCATATGTTACCTTAATTAATTGTATCATGAATAATTTAAAAAGGAAAATTGGATGTTGTAAATAATGTTAACAAAAATGTATAAAACAACTAGCATTTCACTGTTTCTTGACTTATGATTTATTTAAATATGGACACCCTTTTGATTGGATTTATTTTTGCTCTCATAAATTTTACTTTTGCTATTCCTGTTTGTTTTGTTCCTGCTTTTGACTTTTTTTCCTATTCTCTCTCCACTTCATAGAACGGTGGTTTTCAACCTTTTTGGTACTTGCAACTTACAACTCCTGCATATGAATTCGTTTTAAGGCAATATGAATACCTATTTGAGGTAAGACTAATACTGGGAAAACAAAATGACTTTAAAAGTATAGCAAGTTTAATTGATAATAGTGCCAAACCTAATAGCTATATGATTTCCATTGAATCATGGTTGAAAACCATTGCTCTACAGCAGGGGTGGGCAACTCCTCTAGTCGGCGGGCCAGATGTGGGAAGTCCTCGGCGGGCTGGATTATAACATGGATAGTATTCAATATCTTAATCACATATATTTATTCTCTAATGCAAGAAAGAAAATTATAAATCGCGTTTAAAGTAAAGTTTGAACTTTACAAAAAATAGAGACCAAAAAACCAATAATGAATTTATCATTGTGTACTAAAAGTGTAATAATGTAATATTATAATGTACTGAAGTTCAGACAGGGGGCCGGTCAAAATCTTGGCGCAGGAGGACCCGGCCCGCGGGCCGTATGTTGCCCACCCCTGCTCTATAGAGTATTATATGAAGGATCTCTCCTCAGCATTTGAGCTGGTTATATATGATTATATGCTTGATTTTGGGATTGAATTTTCAGTTATAAATTTCTCTACGGTATTACTTTTATTTATCCTGCCATTCTGCTATTTCTGACTTTGTTTCTCTTATATTATACTATTCTCCTTGCTTCATTTCTTTCAATAAATTTTTTCACTGCAATTTATAAGTACTTTATATTTATATTAGAATTGAAACTCAACTTGTAGTTTCCCAAATAATTTTTATGAGGTTCTATCTATCCATATGTTGGCTGTAAGCTCCCATCTGCTTACTGTGTGCCATGTAAACAGGACCATTTAGTCAATTTACAGTATATTTGATATTTCTTATTTAAAAATGCTATTTTAAAATTTATTCCCAATAATAAATTATTTGGTTCTGGACATCCCTGCTTCTAGGCCTACCTATAGTGACACAAACCGAAATTAGCAATATCTCTCACATTTTTAATAGATTTGTGGGCCCTTGAAAATGTGGGACATGGCCCATTGCTGAGCTGCAGCAACGCTTTCAGGTAGGCCACAAACATTTAAAATCGCTACAGATGTTAGTAATTCATTTTCATTTGTGTCACTATAGTTAATTTTGATTGCAATGGCAGTGTAAAATGATGGGTCATTCTATCCTGTAATTAGTACTAATTACTTATCGATCTTAAGATCGGTACGTATGTTGATAGGTATTTGTCTGTCTGTATGTCTGTTTGTCTGTGTGTTAGATGCACGCGATATCTCACAAAAGCGAGGTTGAATCCGCTCCAAATTTTGCATGTGCATTCATCATAGCTCGGATCAGAAGCCTATTGATTTTGGATGGATTATGTCTTATAATTAGCGAGTCATTAGGTAATTAGTGATGGGACACACGGTGTCACTATGGAGTAAGACCACTGTTTTGCGGGATCCCCTAACCTTTGATCGATACGTCTTCGGTTTCTAACCAGTATTCTAGTTTGACAAAATTATCAATGGAGATACTAGCACCGCAAATTTGACTATAATTATATAAAATTAATGTGTGTGTGATCCTAAAAAAATTTACTGCAAATGTATTGCTTAGAAACTTTGTGAAAAGGTTTGAATTCGATTATTCGGCGCCATGGTCAAGACATTGAACTATGTTGTATTGGCATTACATTCTGAAAAATGTCCACTCATGGTGTAATAAATTGGCCAAGCAATGCAGAACGAAAAAAAATTCTGTCATCAACCATAGCAGGTCCTAGCTCAGCAGTAACTGTTTGTACTAAACCTTGTTTAAAATGAAAGGCGTAAAATTGTTGTTTAAATAATATATTTTGTTAGAATCTCGTTGAATTTGACTTTGAACTTTTTGATGACCTTCAGATCAAAGTGCTAAAATTAGTTACCATCTTTCGGCCCACTTTGGTCTGTTCTATTCCATTTATACAAACTTGTAAAACATGAAATGTTATTTGCTTTCCAATCATGTCATGTTTTTTGGATAAGGACATGATTCAAACATCAATTTTTTTAAAATTTAGATCAATCTTGGTATACTGATGAAGTACATATATTATGTAGTGTTTATTTGTGGCCCATGTCTGTCACAGGATAAATTTAAATCAATTTTAAATCTATTTCTAATGTCAAGAAAAATTTGCTTTGTTTGCTTTTTATAGTTGTCATGTTTTACAATTATTGAAAAATGCTGAATTATAGAAAAGGACTATTCTGTGTGATGCAAGAGTATTTATTGCTGCACACTAACACAATCATAAAGGGTGTCCATAAAGTCCCTTTAAAATTTCAACTTTGTTATAAAGTCAGTTCACAATATATCTTAACCAGGTATGTTGTTTTTTAATCAGTAATCGTTCAAGTATTTTTACTTCATTCAATACATCTGTGACAATATGAGGTATCGATAAATCCAAGACTTTATGGACACCCTATATTTATGTTACCTTCCTTCTGTCAAAGATCAGATTCTTCAGAAAACATTATTTTATTAGGATTGCTAGATAATAAGTTATGTGATGGATAGGTTTTGTACTCTCTTCTAATATATAAATAAACCATTCCCAACTTGAATAATCTTCTATTTATATCTGGCCGTATATAATTCCAAGCCTTTTTCACTTCCTTGACATTTATTTACATTACCCGAGATAGATTACTTCAACTGGGCCAAATTTGGGCTAATGATATTAAATGGATAATATAAGGACGACTCCCAAAATAGTGTATAAACCGTTGCCCCCATTGAAGTTATTTATATTGAGTGACTCATAAAATTCCTAACCTACTACCTATGGTAACTGTGGTTCACCCAAAGATGTCCAGAACGAATCAAATTCATTATATTTCATATTTGTCTCATTTTAGATGTGATCAACATGAAGATTTAGTGTTTTAGGAATTTTTCACATGAACATGCCCCCAATTAGAATGTATTCGATATTCCTCATTTGAAAATATTTTTTTCAGAATGTATTCGAGATAGTGAAATATTTAATTTTGGCCATCCCTACTGATAACTCTGGCATTGACGTTTGGACTAACATTTTCCCTTTGAGAAGACTTTAAAAATATTGTGGATCTCCTAGTATGGATTAATAATTCTTATGCACGCTTGATTAGGCGAATATAAAAAAGAAATTCTGCTATAAATAGGATTAAGGTAATCTGTAGCCTTGCTAACTCCAACATACATTGTTAAGTGATGTCCAATATCAGTCAATCCACAGCTGTTTTTTTTTTGTCTGGTCTTTTTGATATTTCTATGAGAATACCAAATAGTCCAAAATTATTTTTATATGATATTATGCTTAAAATCAAGCATCGAATTTATCTTGAAATTCCTAAAGCCTGTTATTAACGAAAATAGAACACTTGGTCTAATTTCACTCAAAAAACCCCTTCGTGGAAACACATTTATTTAAAATATTTCGGATTTACTGTGGAATTATATAGAATTCGATATATTTTCATGTATTTTACAGTTTTCAGGGGTAAATGAAAGCATTTTTGGTCATAGTACACTTTTTGGCTATTCATTTCATTCCAAGATTTGCCTTTTTAAGTTCAGCGAACACATTAATATGACATTTAACCAGTGGTTCTCCAACTTTTTAGGCCACACTCCTTTTTTAGAGTTTGCCAAATCTTGCGCCCCATTTCAAAAATAATTATCGGTATCTAACAATGAGCCTCAAATAACAGATAGTAAGACAAAAGTTTTATTCAAAAAACCATGTTGAAAATACGTGAATGGAACGTTAAAATCCAAAATAAAGAATTGTAAATATCCAAAATAAGGCAGGCAAGATCAGATCTAACAAATATTTTTAATTAGCTCCACGCCCTCTTGAAAAATTGTCTACGCCCCTCTTATGCGGTGCACCCCACCGTTTGAAAACCACTATGTTAAACCATTTCTTCTCAAAAATGACCAATCCAGCTTAACCAGGATGTAGCATATTATGTTTCAAGTGTCTGATGACCATTTTGAATCGTCCAATCATTCTTGAAATAGCCTAAGGCTGTTTTTATTTGAAATGAACCCAGCTGAATCAGCTCAAGTACCTACTTAACTTAACACTCAATGACAATTCAATAACATTACTTGCTGATTGAAATCGCTCTGTGAAATGGCCTGTTTTATGTAAATAATAAAATAGCTTACATTCTCTGATCTTTTGCGAATAAATTTCGCTTAAATAGATATTTTTTGGAATTAGGGATGGCAACATTAATCCTATTCTGAATTTATCCTAAAATAGTATTATCGGGAATGAAATATAAAACATTATCGATAAAATCTTATAGAATTTGACATTGAAATTTTTGAATGACCTTTGAAAGTCCCAAAATTAGTTATCGGACAATTTTGGTCCGCTCTTTTTTCCATTTATGCGAACATGTGATACATGAAATGTTATAAACTGGAGTCAAAAAGAATTTGGCAATGCAGGATTGGCAAGATTAAAATTGTTTTGATTATTTTTTTTTATCTGTTACTGAGTTTAAAAGTTATGCGAAGTCAATTGTAACGCCTGACCTAAATTTTCATACAACTTCCATCACAGTATGGAATAGCATTTTTGAATGAGGAATGTTGAATTAGTTCTATCTTGTCAAAAATCGAGTTTGGTAATGCATGATGCCAAGATAAGATAAACATTGTTTGATTAATATTTTTATTTTTTCACTGTCATAACTGAACTGAATGAATTCAATTTTTATGTCGGACTTCAGATCAAGATAAATTTTCCCAACTTCTAACATACTGTAAAGTAGTATTTTTGAAAAAGGAATATATTCCAACTTTTGGCGGATATTGAATTTGATAATGCAGGATTGGCAGGATAAGATAAACATTGTTTTGATTGATTTTCTAAAAGTTTAATGAAGTCTATTTTATGATAAAATTTTGAATTATTTATAAAGCCAAAAATTTATAATGTCAATTATAACCAGTTTCGGATGTTTGATTTGTGCGGGACATCCCTGCTTGAAGTTTTCAATGGTACAATTTCAATGTTAATTGGCCAACGGGTGAACTATACTTTTGTGTCAATACAGTGGTTATTAGAGTATTGTATATTAAACTGCAGATCCTTTTCTCCCTCTCTAATTTTATGACTTGAGGCTGTATCATACGATGATATACGGCAACTTCAATAACAAACTTTAATTGGTCAAGCAAACATTGATAACAGTTTACGGGTATATTATGCTATTTATTCCATTTGAAGTAAATCGTAGAATTTTCCTATCGATGTATACAATTTAATTTCAATATTTTTCAGCTTTATAATTTACTTATTTTTTCATGTTAGCTTTACTTTTTTTTCGCGTAGTACTATGGGTTGCAATATCTTTAAATATTTATGTAAATTTAATTATATGTATATCTATATGGTGAAATGTAGAATTTTTTTGAGCTTTTTCGTGATTACTAAAAAGAGTGATGAGACATTGTCAAAAGAATCAAAAGATTGTGCTATGTTACACAAATCTTTTTTGGATTTTAGTGAGAATCCTGATTCTAACCTAAATCTAATCAGGCAAAATCAGCGAAGCAAAAGAATACTAACAACAACAACATAACAATAATAAAAAAAATCCATACCCATCATTGTCATATTCTGCTTTGGTACGAAATGGACTAAAAAAACGTTTTTCCATGGGGTGTTTTGACTTCAAATAAGGCTTCGTATAAGCGGCCACTGATCCCAAAGATCTACTATTTTTAGGGAGATTTAATTTTCCATATTTTTCATTGACCATCTTTATAGGTCAGCAATTCATCACCTTGAAACATTCTAAAATGGTATTGTTGAAAATGAAATATCAAAAATTTTCGCTAGAATTTGACATTGAAATTTTTGACAAGGACCTTCACCATGGCTTTCAGATCACAGTTTCCAAGTTATCGGCCCCAAGATGAGGAAGTGGGCATGGGTTTTAAACATAACATTTAACTTTTGAATTTATTATGGTTAGATCCATCATTCTAAACCACTTCAGCAAGGCCCCCAAGTGGTTAAAAATATCTACGTTCTTGTTCTAAAAAACATTTTGTTTCAACTGTCTCTATTTGCTCTTTCTAGTAATCACCAATGACATAATTTTTGTGTTTGTATTGTGTATTGTATAATTTAGCTATTGGGTTTAATTATAAATTGATGCCAATTTTTTACTACTTGCTTTCTTTACTGTGTGTATTAAGTGTACGAGCTGGCTGAACGTCTGCATCTGAAACAAATAACTGGGTATCTGTTCCATACCCGACATGGACCGCTAACGGGTTGAAAGGCTGGGGGACCGCTAACGGGTTGAAAGGCTGGGGTTTCACCCACCATATGATTCAGTCGTCTTATCACATTTCCTTCCCTGTAATAAATCTGAAAATCGAATCCTATTCAAAAAAGGGTGCTCCCGAAGTATGCGAAGCAAGATGGCGGAATCGGAACGTAACATGGGTAACAGGTTAGGGTTAGGCGATAATTTTTTTCCAATTTTCCTTATTTTAGTCCTATTATCAGTTCGAAGACTAGCCAAGAGCCTCCCGTAGTATTTATACCAAAAATTATGGCCTAACCCTAACCTAGTACACATATTACATTCCGATGTCTGCCATCTTGGTTCGCATACTTCAGGGAGCCCCCCAAAAAGGAATAGCAAATAATACAAGTCCATGCTCCTGGAAACAAATGACTGACTTACAGTCCATATGGTTAGGTTGTCTTATTGCTTCCCTTTCTCCTTAGATAAATATGTAGTAAATCTAATCTCTATCCTACCCTAGTAGAATCATTTCGACTCTACATTTTCCGATAATTTTTTCACAAATTAAATGTATCAGGTTCATTCATGAGAGCATTTGAATCTTTCTCAGGCTTAGCCTAAGTTTCCAAGTGAATACGCATTATATTGGGGAAAATATTCAAAGCAATGATCAAATCACCGTTCCATGTCCCTTCCAGCATTATAATATTCTTTGAATTTCGACAATGAAGTGATATCTGTTCGAGTGCTCAGATAAAATTAAAGAGAAACATTGTTTCCACTTTCTGTTAGATTTTCTTTTCTTACTCCATGGTAACATATTCATGCACCCTTGTTCCTATTGAACTATTTATTAACTGACACTGTTTTTTATCTAAAAGTTTGTTTAATGTCTTTTAATACTAACAATCAATCTAAAATGTCTGCAGATTATATCTTTATAATGGATAAATCTGGCAACATTGGTTTCCTTAAACCTCAATTTCTAGGTTTCTGTGACCTTGAAAAGGCCAATTGACCTCTGGTACGTATATGTGAAACTAATATCTGGGTAAATATTCACAGCCATGATTCAGAAGCGTGTTTCGCCATATTATTGAATTGCCTTATCGGCTTTTTTTTTCTTAGGATAAATATGGGAATCCTGAATGTTTTAAAAAATATACTCTTGAATTTTTGCTTAATTTCATTTTGCACTATTACGTATGTTTTGGGTGTTTTTCTACACAATGAAATAGTAGTTTTCAAAATGAAATTTTTTATATTCTAATGTAAAAAGTTTATACGAAATTTCCGACGTCTAGTTTACTTTAGTACCATTTAATTTCAATATGATACTTTATAGTCTTTCTTTTTTTTATGGCTTGTGGTTCCCTCCCAGAGGCTTTTAGCTCTCATGGCCACCCCTGTTTATCATTCCAATGTTATTTTGATTGGTAGATCCCAAATCCCATTATGTTCAACAAAGTGAAAACCCCTTGTGGAATAACCTTATCAAGCAATGTAACTAGGAACCCAGGGGAAATTTTTTTGTGGATTGAAAACTAAAATCAGTTTTGCGCCTAGCATTGTGGTCTCCTCCAACTGCTCTTTGGCGCCCTTAGTGGGCCATGGGCCCCAGGTTGGAACCACTGCCCTATATTCTCAGTAGCTTCTGGCACCTAAGTATCTGTAGCCTCGCTCAAAGACCAATCTACTTAATATCTGAGTGAATATGTGACCATTCTTTGAGCATATTTCATTAAAACAAAGTTAATGAAGCATTCAACAGCATCATTGTTGTTCCTGAATTTGGATTATATTATTCTGGCCAGCTATGCTTCATTGATTTTGTTGTTGATTTTGAATGGTACTAATGTACACTAAGTCTATTTATCTTTAAGTATTGTCTTGTCAGCAATTTCACGCTTGGTATGCTTTTATCTATTTCAACAAGGGTGGGTTGATAACGGCGTATAAGATTTTGCCTACACTATTTGGACCTTTTCCAGTTACCCCCACCCCCCCCAAAAAATAATAATAATATATGAATATACTCACCCAGTTGGGCTTAGGAATGCAGATTGCCCTGGAAATTCAAATTTCCAAATCATTACCCACCCTAAATCTAACACCAACTGGTTGATTTCTATTTGTTATTTCAAAATAGGGCGGGGTAATATTAAGGGGGAGGAATAACTGGGGAAGTTACCATTATTTTGTGTGTTTTGCTGTAATTCTGATATTAGGAAAACAACCCACAAAAAAATCTGCCCAAGAAATTTCCTACTCAGGATGTTTCACCAATTCCATTCAGATCAAATTCAAAGGCTTTATTTTAGTTGATTTTTTCTATAATGTCATATTTTTGTACTGGTATCAGAATTTTCTGGGCATCGGCCTTATTTACAACCCAATTTAGTATGTTGGATCGCTCTGAAAAATAGATTTTTTTTATGTACACTATTGTAAAGCCAAAAAATAAATGTTAATTTCCACTCTGCTAAGTTGTGATCACTATTTCATGCATCATTGACTTTTGAATTCAGACCAGGAATCCCCATTCCAGCGATGTACTTCACTCCCTAACATATTTTTGCCTAGTTAAATGTGCTTGCCAATTGTTAATATTTTATTGAAATTTCTATTTGCTGTGCCATTATTGTGTAATATGATAAATTTATTGTGATGTCACATTTATTATAGATGATTTACTATTAGCAAACAATACAATTTAAACAAGAATATGACACCTGTCTTCTGCTAGCTCTATGTTATGGCTGCCACTTTAATATAGGGATAGTTTGCTGGTTTTAGAAGTCAGGATTATTTCTTGGAAAAAGTGTTAAAGAAAGTAAATAAAATGGAAATTGTATTTGGGAAACACCATTGTGAAATTGGGATAAAACATCTGGATTATGGGCAAGTCATCGGTGGAGGTAAGAGTTGTTATTATTGCACTCAGTGCACGCAGGGTTACTTAAATATCTTCAAAATTTAATTTCAGTAATAATTAAGGATAGTCCCTTCGTTATTATTGTACTCAGTATACGGCAGGGATGCTCAAATTCGTAATTATAGTAATAATATGAGATAATTTGAAATAATCATTTGAAGCATATGAAGTCTCGCAGTATAGCCAAAAGGGCCTTTATTTAAATTCCAAAAACTTGAAATATTCGATATTCTGAATTCTTGATTTTGGTAAAAATTTGGAATAGTTTCGTGTGAAAAGTAATCAATTTAAGCAGTTGAAATCTCGCAGTATAACTAAAAAGCATTCATTTCAATCTTGAAAAGCTGTAAAAAATATAGAACCAAATGAAACCTCTATATATTATTTACAGTAGTTTTTTTGGCATACCTTCTTTTGGCGCCCAAATAAGGAGGCGCAGTTCTTACCACTTCATGGCAGCCCCTGCCATGAACGAACCGCGGTAGCTCTTGCCATGGTTTTATAGCGCTATTCAGTAATCAGTATTAACGGTATATTCACAGATTAATGTACCTGATTTTAATTGATCATGCAGAATTATATCTACTTAAACCCTAACCCCAAATCCATCAAAACTGTATCCATAAGAAAAACGTTCCAACTTACCCAATATTTGTCACCAAAAGGGACAGTCCTGTCTTTACGGCCCACCTGCCGTGGTTACGGCAGCAAAATTTTACCTGCCACTGGTTTTCAATTCGCTGGCGCGGTAACGGCAGCTCGTCATTGGTTTGTGACAGCTAAAAAGTCAGTCGCCATAGGTTTGGCCGTAGCGGCCATGGTATGAAAATATCGCCATGGTTTTGCGGCAGTTGCAGACGCCACAGAATACTTAAAATTGCACTTGCAGGCTCAATTATGGTCAAATCTGTTACCTTTGGTGACACCATTTTACGATTAGCTAAAGATCAAAACTCTTGCTTGGTGATTATTTTTGTGGCCCAGCTCTGACAATATCAGATTCTATGTCATTATTCAGAACAGAATATTTGGCCTCGTCAATTATGTATGGTTTTAAATATTTATAGAAATTTAATACTTTAACTGTGCCAGTGTGGATATCACTGTCTCAGATCTGGTGATGACGCTGCGCAGTGGCGTAGCCAGGGGGGTGGTTTTGCGGGTCGAAAGCGCCCTCTTTTGAAATGTAAAAAAAAATCATATTTCTGTATCAATTTCCCGTAGCTTGAATGATTTTTAGACCCCAATACTACTAAAAACACGTGCACACGCAGTGTTCGATCGCACCCGCTAGCAGTTTCGATCTAACTTGGCAAACAGAAAAAATTTCAGCTTCCCCCCTTTTGAAAATTTCTGGCTACGCCCCTGACGCTGTGTATAATGTTGGGGCTTAGCCTAGTGACTTGAGTAAGAGATTTTCTGATCGAATGGAATATTTGTACTCTTTTTTTTAACTTCTTTATTTCAGGGATAATTTAGATAAATTATATTTTTGAGCAATCAGAGTCGTCTCTCAGAGCCTTCATATAAACCCATTGAATATATATGGGTGTCTTTAAATTTTTTAAAATTGCACAAAGGGATTTTATCGATACTATATATTGTTTTGGCCTTCACAGATGTACTAAATAAAGTAAAAATACTTGAACAAATACTCATTAAAAAACAACAAACCTGGTCTCGACATCGACTTTTGTGAGTTCTTTGTTAAACGCGATCTAATTTACAAGATAATTGATATTTCATACTCGAAAATATCATTGCTGAATAAATCTAAAATGGTAAATTATTCAATGTTGACCACACTTAAGTCATATTTGATATCAGTATTTGCAAAGTGGGTAAATCTAACCTAATTTCTCTGTTGAATATGAAGAAATTCCATATTCGAAAATATTATTTTCATTATGTATTCTAAATAGTAAATTATTCGGTTCTGGCCATCTTTATACCATCTTTGTTACACTTTTTGCAAAGCCGTTAATAAATGAATAATATTGAATAATGAGGATATTAATTGAATAATAATTATGAATAATAATTGGATAATATTGAACAAGATAGCGATAGCGGAGACCGCGGACTTATCTTCCGCATGTTCTATATTTTTTTCGATCCATTCGCTCAGACTTGATAGCAACACCACGTATCCCATCACTAATTATTAATAACTCGTCCAAACTCATCCAATTCAATAGGCTTCTGGTCTGAGGTATGATGAATACACATGCAAAATTTGGAGCAGATTCAACTTCGCTTTCGTGAGATATCGCCTAAAATACGAAAGTGTCAAACAGACAAATACTTATCAAGATACTTATCGATCGAGATAGATATGTAAAAATGACCTTGTATTGACCTACAAGTAATACAAAGGAAGAGTTTCCTTCTCTAAAATAATTCAATTCCTCTCTTATAGCGAATTAACCCCAAAAGGTTGAGAGACCCTGTAATAAATTATCCGAATATATTTTCAAAATGCCCCCGATTGGTGTTTTATTATTGAACACCTGTTTCATTTACCTGTTTTTATGTTACAGTGCGATACGCCCCATCAGGACTTCTCAAGTTACTGGAAATGGGTAGAGCAGTCGGAAGCGAGCTATTCAGAAGATTATGCGATTCAGCAGGGGAAGAACACAACCATATGATTTTCTTAAAATGGCAGCAAGTAGAAATATTGCCTTCGTTTTACAAAAAGGAAGCTGACCCTGACGACCCAACAACATCTATCGATTTTGTAAATCGGAAGAAAAGGATGTTCCATTTTTTTTTGCCAATCAGTAACACGTCTCGTCGAATTGAAAACTGGGTTTTTGATTCAGACACTGGAACACCGATAATGACAGCTTCAGTTTTGTCTGTAAATATAAATCCTGAAACTCGCCGTCCGTTACGATTCAATAATTATTTAAAGAATTATTTCAGCCCAAAAAACCTTTCATTTGCAAATATGCAGTTTCAAAAACTGCCGCCTTCATGCATGAGCGAATATAAAATGCCAGATTCTGTGTTGTTTCATTCGTTACCTACGCAGATTACAGTCCGTTATGTTGATCGTAACGGACACACAAACCAATCAGCTTACGGTGATATCTGCTATAATTGTCTTGCTGACGCTATTTCAAAGAAAGTCTTTTTTCTTTCTGGTTCAATTTTTGATTACAAAATCCGTCGAATGTCGTTTTTATATTTAAAAGAATCCCTTCTTGGGGATAAAGTAGAAGCCATCGTGTGGCAAGATGGGAGCCATAATTGGAAATTTAAATTTCATATTAAAAAAGACGGGATTGTCCTTTGTCAAGCTGAATTTGAGTTTTACCCAGAACTGAAAGCAAAAATATAAATATTTTTTGGGTACTCGCGTAGTATGTGTAAAAGCTTAGGGTTAGGCCATAATTTTATTCCGATTTCCCTTATTTTAATTCATTTCGAGTTCGGGGACTGTCTGTGTTAGCCAAATGAATATCCCCCCTGTCCATAGGCTTTCGTCCCCTCACACAACTTGATGTGAAGTAGGCGAACAAAATTAGTTACCTCCATATTGGTACACATACTTCCGGAGCGCCATTTTTTGTCTGAATCAGGGCTGTAGAGCTGAGTTTAGCATTTTTTCACTACAGTCTTAGCCAGGGTCACATTTTCAAACAATACCTTACAATAATTTTTGATAATTTTTATACATTTCTTTATTCTATAATTTTTCTATAATTTATATATATGCATATAAGTCTGGCAATATAAACGTTCAGAATTATTTTCAAAGGTAAATAGATTCAATTTTACTTAATAAAGTGCTGCTGTAATCTGTATCTTGCAAATATGAAAGTGCAATTATGTAGCCTATATTTTTTTATTATTGTTCAATTTTCATATCAAAATAAATTTTCAATAAATTATTTTTCATTAAATAAGAACAATTGTATCTAAAAGCCAAATGCCTTGTTGGGAGTGTCGTTGTATAAATTGTTACCATTTCTTATAGGCTTGATACTATTTCTATCTCTCTAGCGCCCTCTATCTTGTAAGCTCCATCTTTCTAATTTTTCAGTTTGCACACTGCAATGTTCACGGTGTGAAATTGCAATTATGTACAATTTATCTCTAATATTTAATTTTTCTTAAGTAAAATATTTGTTTCTTTTAATGGAATATGGCCTGTCCCAAGTCAGGGCATGTTAAAAAATTTCTTTCTTGTGTGTTCTAGCGTATCAGCCGATTTTGTTTGTTTAATAGGCTAATTATCAAAAATGCCCATTACTAATGTTACATCTGGAGCGAGTTGTAAGCAGCACACCGACGCTTGACGGTGTGGCTACACTGCATTGGCTCAAATCCTGTTGGGGATAATTGTATGTGGGAAGATTGCTCTACTCCCTTCCTTTGTAGGGTGGTTCTAGTTAGTAGTTACCACTGGTAGGTTATCTGGAGCAAATAACTGGCTGACTAATCACATACCCAACATGGACTGGTTCGCCACATGATTAATCCGTTTTATTGTTTTTCCTTTCCCCCTGAATCGCAAGCATTTTAAAATTTTCTATCTTTACAATGACTGAATTCACTGTTCTAATCTGTAAATTATATTATGAAAGTATGCAATCTGGAATTTTGATTTTTTATCAATTCAGAATTAAATTGTAATTCAATGTACTTGATTGATCCATATACTAATACCTAGAATAGCTGAGCATTTTTTTTTGCAATTTTGTTTACCTCACTGTTTATCGCAGACGATGTGACAAAACATTGTTAGAAGTAGCCTTTTTAATGAGGTGTTCTCTCTAGACAAGGCTCTGTGGAAGCAACCACTGATCATATAGAGCAGGTGGGGCCAGGGGCCAAAAATTGTGCCCACCTAGACTGGCGGGCTATGTAAATGTGACGTAAAAAGTTACATTTCATGAACAATATTTACAGTGTTACAAAAGCAATAAACAATAGGCCGCGTGCCAAAACTAAATTTAATCGCAATTACAACAAATTCCTTGGGCTACTTTTTAGCTGAAACATCAAAATTTAGTTTTACTTTGGTTGTGGCAGGCGGTAGCATCGGGCGGGCCAGATTGAATTACCCAACAGGCTGGACGGATTTGGCTCGTCGACCGTAGTTTGTCAGATATAGAACCAAGATTTTTGGAACGACAAGAATTCAGTTAATGACATCTTAGGAAATGTGTTTGAACATTTTATCTTCAAAAATATCTTTAACTCATGGCAACAACATACGGTAATACAGTGTTTCCCCGAAAATAAGACCTAGCCTGACTTTTAAAAATGATTTTAATATAAGTCCTCCCCTCAAAAAAAGACTTACGGTAGCCAACAGCGCAAATTTTTTTTGACCAAGTCGGAAATCTCTCCTACACGTTTTAAAAGATTAAAAATCTTGATTAGAAGTTTTTTGAAAATAAAAACATGTTATTTACCGGTGTATATGAATGGATATAGGTTTTCATATTTTGTATATGCAAAAATATAGTAATTCTCTTCATTGTAATTTTGTTTTTGATAAATAAAAATAACACACATTCCCCAAAATGAAAAAAAATTGGAAAAAGGACCGTCTCATTTTCGGGAAAACACGGTAATTGCTTCTTTACTTGTACCGCTCGAACTACTATACAATACCTCCACCTTATGATATGATTATGAAGATCGTTTTCTAATTTCTCAATGTTGATTCCTTTCCATAGTAATAGACTAGCGTTGGTATATTAATAAACACTTGAGGGCGCAATGGATGTTGTGTTTGGTAAAACTCATTGTGAAGTCGGACTCCAACATCTTGACTACGGACATATCATCGGTGGAGGTGAGACTGTTGGTCTATACTTGTTGGGGTCAGTGGTGTAGCAAGACTCTCGTGGGCCCCCCCGCAAAAATATTTTGTGGAAATGACCCTGAAAACTCTCGGACATAAGCTAAAACGACGCTTTTTTTATTTCGTCAAAAAGCATAACATGTCGCTATTAAAAGGCAATGGTAACCTAAAATTTCCCTTTTTTTTGGTTACTTTAATTTTTTTCATACGTGCTTCCTCTTATGCCCTTTCGTTGCGTTTCTGTGCGCCACTGAGAGGTTTCGCTTTCGACATCATTCAGACAGCCTTCATAATTTTGCCGGTGCGATCAAACCACAAGACGCCGAAAATCGACGACTACCTGGCATTGTTACGTAACAAAACGATTTGAGCAGAACTAACATCAACGATATAAGATGTGCATAACGGGTTTTGCAATGCAGCTTTTGGGTTTGCGGCTTAAATTTCTAAATTCTAATCGCTTGGGCCCCTTTGCGCTGTGGGCCCTTTTGCTACCGCGGGGGTTGCGGGGTGGATGCTACGCCACTGTTTGGGGTATAGTCTATGTCAATATTCTTCAAACTTTTTCCATCATGACCCACTTGGCTCCGCCAAATTTTTTTGTAATCCTCAGGAACTAAAATATACAAAAAAAATTTAGAAAATGATCAATATTAACCATGCCTTCAATGAAACCTGTGTGCTCATACAAAAGATTGAATCCTGGCTCTATTTCGACAATTTTGAGTCAGTACTGGTTCAAAATCTATTCAATTTGATCGATATTTATTTTCAACATGAGTTGGTAAACCCAAAGGCCCTCAGTGACATTCAAGTAGTGGTCAGGATAATAATTTCATCATTGTTATTAAACAATGTGACCCATACTCGACTGACTACCAAGAGGACTCTATTTGAACCTCAAACAAAGTGTTTGAGATGGTGAGAAAAAATCCAATCAAGCTTTTACATAACAATGTCAGTAAGTGGCTTGACGGTGCGGCACATCGTGCTAGGCGTTAGTGATGCGCTCACCACCACACCTTTGATTACCCTGCGTGGGTTCGCAGGTTTGAATCCCATGCGGAGATAATTACGTGTAAGAGAATTGCTTGACTCCTCGCCGCTATTGGGTCAAGTCCATGATTTTAAAAAACAAATAACTGGCTAACTAATCCAATACCTGTGGTTCACTATATGATTAAGTCACTTTTTCTCTCCCCTCAGAATAGATCGTAGATCCTATCCTAAGACGTAAATCTTGCTCGTTGCCTACTTTTATAACAGCATGTTTCATTTTCATTTCAGCCTGTATTCCTCCATCAAAAATCTTAAAAATAATGGAGACGGTGAGGTCTGTTGGAGGTGAATTAATTGACAGGACTTCCAAAAAGAAAGGAATCGCCAAAAAAAGTATAATTTTTCTGAAATGGCAACAACTGGAATATGGAAAATCATTCTATGCTCAGCAAACGATTCCGTCAGAAACGTTTTCATACATAAAATATGTCAACCGTAAATTCCGTCTACACCATTATTTTTTGCCGGTTGGAAATACATCTGTGAGAGCTGACACTTTTATAAATGATGAAGCGCTCGGAAAAACAATTCTGTACCGGTACAGTAATTCTTTGATTGTCAATGTCGACCCAACGACACGGCGCTCAGAACCATTCTTAAAATGCTTGAAGGAGCATTTCAGTGTTGATAATTGTGAAACCCCAAATCTCAATTTCGATAAAATGTCACCAAAATGTATGGAAAGATACAAAAAACCGAAATCAGCAATATTTCATACATTTTCCAGTAGAATATCAGTCTCATTTCTTGATGCTAATAATCATTCAAACGCGGCGTGTTATGCTGATCTGTGTTACGATTGCCTCGGTGAGGCCATCGATAAAAAAGTCTTTGATTCATTGACTGGGTCTATCTTTGATCATAAAATAAGGCGCGTATCATTGCTTTATCTTAACGAATGTAGAATGGGTGATATTGTCGATACTGTGATCTGGCAAAACAAGAATAATAAAGAAGAATTCAGGTTCCATGTGCTGAAGAACGGTGATCTTATCTGTCAAGCCGAAATTGAGGTTTTTCCAATGTTGCTTGAGGCGAAGTTGTAGACCAAAATGAATCGAATATTCTACATTTTCAATTCTTAATTTTAAGAATAATTTTAAAATGGCTTCATTTGAAAAGTTGAAATCTAGAGGTGCAATAAAAAGTCTTGTAAGTCTAAAAAACTTTCCAGCTGCGAAAATTGCTATGTATGATAAAAAAAGGTGTGCCTGAAGTATGCGTACCAAGATGGCCGAAACCGGAACATAGTATGTGTACCAGGTTAGGGTCAGGCCATAATTTTAGGCCTAAATACTACGGGAGTCACTTGGTCAATCCCCGAACTCGTAATAGAACAGAAATAAGGAAAATTGGAAAAAAATTATGCCCTAACCAAGTACACGTATTTCGTTCCGATGTCCGCCACCTTGGTACGCATACTTCAGGTGTACCGATAAAAATTGCTTGTTTAACACATTTCAAACAAAGGGGGGGTTCGACCCTCAAAACCCTCCCTGGCTAAGCCCCCTCTTTATTCAATTTCTTCGGAATAAAAAAAAGAAGTATTTATGAATATCAAATACCATTTTAACTTCTATTATTTTTTCTAGATTACTCATCAATATGCATATTGAGCCATTACTAGTTTATAACGTAATCATCTATTATCCTCATTGAAAAATTTTTTTTTATATAGCCACTCAGTTTAATTTTATTTCTCCATGTGTTTTTCACATATATAAATGATTGACTCATTTTTTTTGTTTTTTTCTCCAATTTTGAGATGATGGTTGAGGCCATTATTCAATCCACTTTGAGCTTCTTGTTATGGAAGTCAGTTTCCATTTTGAATTTGAATATTAATAATCGCTTATTTACAGTACATTTTCATAATTGAAACATTTTGCATGATTTGTTATTTTATTGCTTAAATTTCTAAAATATGCGTTGTAAAGTGTAAATTTCTAAGAGAAGCGAAGTCATCAGATGCAAATGGAAATATTAAAAATTTTCGGTCAAGTCTGAATTTCATTAATTTCAAATGTTTCGTCATTTCTACGTCTTGTTCGTGAAATCCTTTTGCATTTTAGAATTAATAATTGCCTATTTACAGTACATTTTTATGATTAAAACATTTTGCATGATTTGTTATTTTATTGCTTAAATTTCTAAAATAAGCGTTGTAAAGTGTAAATTTCTAAGAAAAGCGAAGTCATCAGATGCAAATGGAAATATTAAAAATTTTCGGTCAAGTCTGAATTTAATTAATTTCAAATGTTTAGTCATTTCTACGTCTTGTTCGTGAAATCCCTTTGCATTTTAGAATTAATAATTGCCTATTTACAGTACATTTTTATGATTAAAACATTTTGCATGATTTGTTCTTTTATTGCTTAAATTTCTGAAATAAGCGTTGTAAAGTGTAAATTTCTAAGAGAAGCATGTCATCAGATGCAAATGGAAAAATTTCAAATATTCTATTTGATTCAGTCATCTCTACCTACCTCTTGTTATTAAAGCCCTTTTGTATTTGAATATTAATAATTGCTTTTTTACAATACATTTTTATAAATAAAACATTTTCCATGATTCCTTATTTTATTGCTTCAAATTTCTAAAATATGCATTTATACCTTGAATTTCTTAGAAAAGGGATATAATTTGTCTTAATTTTGTACGTACATGTTACTAATCGAGTTACTTCCCACTATATATCAAATTTTCAATAAAAATTCTGATTCTGATCATCAACATGTTTTCTTGCTTTTCATAGTAAAGTATAGAACATGACTACAGCCCTGGGCCAAATCCGGCCCGTTGGGTAATTTAATCTGGCCCGTCTGATGCTGCCACAACCAAACTAAAACCAAATTTTGATGTTAAACTAAAAAATTGTTAAATGAATTTGTTGAAATTGCGATTAAATTTAGCTTTGGCACAAGGCTTCTTGTTTGCCAATTTTGATTTTGTAACACTGTAAACATTTGCTAATGATTTGGTTTCTGCGAGATTCAGATTCAGATTTTATTTTCGTCATGCAAAACCAATATACGATATGAAAAAATAAAAAAAGACATATAACAAATTACGAAGACAGATATCGGCTTGTTGCAATAGACGAGGGATCGCGAAAGACTCAAAGAGTCATCCAGTCAGCGACACCTTGTAGCTGCATTGAAGCAGCAAATATAGCAACCGAACAACTCAATATTAAATAGTCACTAAATTCTAGAGACTAACTACTTATCCTTCTTCTATTCTTTTGTGTCGGCGGATCCGTATGCATATAATGCAAGGATGCTGTAGCAAGAGTAAAGATAACAATCCTAAGTGATTCAAGAGTCTTGCTACACACTAACACAAATATATTTCTGTAACGTTTCGTCTAACCAAGGTCAGACTTCTTCAGACATACATAGTATATTTGTGTTTGTGTTAAAACTCTTGAATCACTTAAGACTGAAAACATTGTTCATAAAATGTAACGTTTTTTGTCACACTTACATGGCCTCCAGTTCAAGTGGGCAAACTTGTTAGCCCCTGGCCCAAAACCTGGCCCACCCCTGGTATAGAGCATGCAACTCACTGGGTTTATGGACTATAGGATAGGATTTACATATTTATCCCGGGGGAGAGGGAAGCCGATAAGACGGCTTATCCATATGGCGAACCACGGCCTCTCGTCCGGTTACCATTCCAAGTCGGGTATGGGATTAGTTATATTGTTTGTTTTCGGAAGCATGGACTTGTTGGTGGAGGAAGCCGTAACCGACCAGCGGTTACGTGAACCACCCAACGACGACGAGGAGTCCAGCAATCCTCTTGCACATAACCATCCCTGCATGGGATTCGAACCTGCGAACCCACGCAGAGTAATTAGAGGTGCGGTGGCGAGCGTATTCCTAACGCTCGCCACCTAGATTTTTCATGAAATGTTTTCACATCTTACCTCCGTAAATTAGGCCCTAGGCAAGCAGTCGACTTGAAAGTCCCGTCTGTTTGCATAACCCACATCAGGGGATCACAAACTTGGTAATATGGAACCAGTGAAAAGGTTGACCATTATTTATTTACAAAGCCCCACAATAAATTGATGAAAATTATCTATTGGAACATATAGACAATGTCATATCTGAATTACCGGCTTGTTGCTACATTTTGACGCTACCATTATCAAATCTCTTTAATGTTGTGATTACTTCTTTGTACAGTTACGACATTAACCAAGTCAATATTTCAATAAGGAAATACTGGTCAAAGCCCCTAGGTTTCTCTCGCAGAGTCTTGGGCTCCATAAGAAGCACTTTGAGAAGCTGTGGCCTATTTTATAGGTGTTTTTTGGGTGCTCCTGTAGTATTCATACCAAGATGGCGCACAACCTGAACAAAGTATGTATACCAATCAAGGTTAGCAGGTTGTGCGCCATCTTGGTACGAATACTAGGGGAGCACCGTTTTATCTATCACAGGTAGCTCCAAGCACACTGTATTTTCATAGTACAGTATAGGTCTAGTATTTGCTTGTATAGGGCCCTAGTAAAGGCAAAGGTGTAAAACAATGTTACAAAAAAGCTGCTCATGAAATATAGTGAAAATTTAAACCAGTGGTTCTTAATCTTTCAAGATTCGTGGCCCTATTTAAAAAATCTATGCTCGTATTTTGTGCCAATGTTTCATAAACCTTGATATTGATGATTAAACTTGAATATTGTTTATTACAGCTTTTATTTAATTATACATATGTCGCATCATGGATTTTGTCAAAGGTAAAACTCATACTGAAATTGGACTGCAACATTTGGATTATGGGCATGTCATCGGTGGAGGTAAGCGGTATGATCAACAGCTTTTTCCAGCCCTGAATTTTTTTTGAAAAGTGGAGGGAAATCACTGGAAGTAAATCATAGGAATCTTCAGTCCAAATAAATAAGGAAATTTTTTATATTTATAAAAAAGAATAAAAGAAAAATGGCATGGTGGTGATTGTGTTCCAGGCATAGTTTTGACATTTTTCTCTCCCAAATGTTTATTTTTATGAAGTATTGAACGATTTCCTACATTCTTTTTTTTTCAGACTTCGTCGTTTCACCGTTCAGCATATTAAAAAACTTGCAATTTTCGAGAGGTTTGTCTTTTGACCTCAATCATGAATTGATGAAAAAAAACGGTCTTCGCCAAAATTTGATGACGTTCATTAGATGGCAACAGATGGAATATCTTCCTTCTTATTATAAAGGAGATTCTGGCACGATCCCGAGATATAGAGCATTGATAGAACGCCCTTATCGTTTATTTCACTACAATTTGCCTATTGGGAAAACATCTCTCAATTTTGAAAATGTCATGGTGGATATGGTTACTGAAAAACCAGTGGTTTGTGCTACTGGGATGTTCGTTAATATTGACCCTGAAAAAAGAAGGCCAGCACCATTTCCAAAATGTCTACAAGATCATTATACTGAGGAAAATTGTGAGAAAATTCCGTTTACTTACCAAAAAATGGAACCAAAATGCTCTGTTAAATACGATAAGCCTCAAAATGTTGTGTCGCATAACTTAATGAGCAAAGTTGTAAGTCGATTAGTGGATGCATTCAAACACATGAATGACTGTTCTTATGTTATTCTTTGTTTTGATTGCCTTTCTGATGCAATTATCAGCAATGTTTTCTTGTTAAAGGGTTCAATTATGGATTATAGAATCCGTCGTGTGTCTTTGCTTTATCTAAAAGAATGTGTATTGGGTGATATCATCAACACAGTAGTTTGGCAAAGTGAGCAAAGTAAATGGCAGTTTAAGTTTCATGTCATGAAAAATGATGAAGTCCTCTGCCAGGCTGAAATAGAATTTTTCACAAATGATTTCACTTTTAAATTATAATTATTTAAGTTCAATTTTAAATTATTCAATTACAGTGTTCACAATTTCGAGCAATGAATTTAATTTTTGCCTATGATCATCGCTGCCACCTAGAGAGCAAATCTTAAGCAATCGAGCCATATTTGCAGGGATGTGCGGTCCTTGTCATCTTCGGCACCCAACCTTAAAATTCTTATGAACAAAGGGATACCTTGTTTTTTTATTAAAAAAGAACACTAGGGCTTACTTTGGGGGGTGTTTTTTATTACAAAGTAGAGGATTACGAGATATTCAAATAAACAAAATATGAAAACTGATATCCTTTTACTTATAAATAACGGTTCCATTACATTTGAACCCAAGTACATTTGAACCCATGACAATTGCACCTGCATACTATTGCACCTATAGAAATTTTTTTGTTGTACGGATAGTTGAACCCATACTAACCCTAACCCATGGGTTTCAGCACCCGCATATTGATTGAACCCGCGGATATAGACATGGGTTCAAATGTACGTGGGTTCAAATGTACGTTCACCATAAATAACATGTTTTATTCTCTCGCACATTTTTGATTAATCATTTAAATCATAGGAGGGATGTCTTGCTATCAACTAGGTCTCTTTTTAAGGGAAACCCAGTATGTAGGCATGCTTGCCTGTTGAAAATACTTATTTGACCTGATGCTTTATTAATTAATCAGTTTGATTACCACTGTTAGGAGTCGAAATTCTGACTTCGAAAATTACAATTTCGACTCCCATGGATGGAACGATTAGCTCGTGAGCATTCCAATGCAGAACATAAAGCAGTTTCAGAATTTGTCAAATTTCGCACCCACCTCGAAAAAAAACTGGCTAACAATAAGCTACAAATAACAGATAGTAGGGCAAAAGTATGTTTTAATCAGAAAAACTTTGGATGGTATGTAAACATCTAAAATCAGGCAGGCAAAATGGAATCTAACAAATACAGCTCCCCCCCCCTTTTTGGGATGTGTCCCCCGTGTGAGACCACTGACTTATATATCCAATAATGGTTCGTCTAATATTTAAGGCGTTTTCTTGGTATTCCTCTCATCTGCAACAAGTAATAAAAGTGTTCAGTGGTTGACCTCATGTTCGCACTTATATCTTTCATCCACACAGTAATTATTCTCAATTGCTTAACTATGTTCAAACCTTCCAACATGTTTTCGTGGATTCAACTTACGAATTCTGTGTTTTTTTTCCCTGTTAATTTTGTGCAGGTATATATTGTGTTATGCCAATCTAATTATATATGCATGAATATCAAAATGCCAGATGGTGTAAGGAAGTTCATGTTGCCAGTTTTTGATTTTATTTTTTCCATTTTATTGTACACCATACTAGATGAACCATCTGGTCAGCTGTTCCCATAGCTAAATGGGAAGTGTGGCTCGCTATCATTATTTGGGCTTGCCATTTCGAATTGGATAGTGAATTATTCGTATCGGTTCAGAGAAAATTGTTAAAATTGCCATCTTGTTTTTCCATTTGCCAAAGGTTGAGGTGAATCAGTCATTTTTTGTTGAAGCAATATTTTTTGAATGCACACTGACATACAACTCTTTTCTCCCTGGTGATTTATTGGTGGAACATGTTTCTTATTGTGTGTGACTACTCATTGAAGTGTGTAAGTGACAGATTCTGTTTTTAGTTGTTTGTGAGACTGGTGGACCCACACAATTACCAGTCTTCCAAGCATTTAAATCATCAGGCATTCGATCTAATTATCATACCTCTTAGACAATAAATTTTATTTTTTATCATGATGCTTTTCATATATATGTAACTGAAACTTGTTTTTCTTTAACTGGGGACCATATGCATTTTTAGTCAACTTAATTCTTTTTTGTTTAAATTCTATTTTTTGATGGTATCTTTTTAATCAAATTTAGATAGTTCAAATTAATTGAAATAAATTTTTAATGCAAATCACGGAACCAATTTCTCCTATTGAAGGGTAGGAAGGGCGTTAGCAAGATAGGACATAGATTGTGGCATGGCCGTGCTGGAATGGCATCATGGGTAAGGAATTCGGTAGGCAATGTTGGACAAGAAAAAATCCAGTCTATCCAACAAAAGGTAGCTCTTTACATGAGTTGACTTTGTACTCAATTGGACAAATTCGAGCCATATTTTTTCTTACAAAATACAACATGGATAACACGGCCTGATCCGTGGCTCCTTTCAAAGACTCAAAACATTTATGGCCTAATCCATGGCTCCTTCCAAACACTCGCAAGCTTTGAGTCCCCCTAGTTTAATATATAGTTTTTTTCTCTATGCATCAGGTATTTTACTTTAAAATAATGTGGTCATTGCGAATACGACCCAGTGAAGGTTTTGGTTGGAATTCGACGGAGAACGGCTCTGTGGCCCAGTTTTTTTTGCTTGTGGCCCCTAGAGACCCACGGGGGAGCAGGGGGTCCCAGTTGGAGAAACCTTGTTATAGACAATTAAAAATGAATATTATTTGTTTCAGCTTTTCTTTGAATTTATTTACGATAGATAGTTCTTGGTATACATATGTCGCATCATGGATTTTGTCAAAGGTAGAACTCATACTGAAATTGGACTGCAACATTTGGATTATGGACATGTGATTATTGGTGGAGGTAGGTCATGTATGGATATCTGTGATTCAGGGTGACCCAATAAAAACAGAGTCTAAATATTTGGGCTTGTTTAGTTGCTATTTCTTGATATTCGAATTATCACATCATAGAATATAAGCTCCCAGGGTGACCCAAAAAAACAAAACCCAAGAATTTCAAAATTACCTCTGAGAAAACGAAGATAATCCATTTAACACTTGAACTTCTATTTGGGCGCTCCGGAAGTATGTGTACCAAGATGACGCACGACCTGAACCCTAACCTGGTACACATACTATGTTCAGGTTGTGTGCCATCTTGGTACACATACTTCTGGAGCACCTCTGTTTGTGTATGAATGTGCCCGAGAGTTTCAGTAATCCTGGTAATTCAGTAATCGCTTTGCACAAGAGTTATATTTATTGTATAATAGGTTCTCAATAAATAAATCACTACATTTTCTTTATTAGACATACCTCACATCGCTCTGAAAAAGGCTCTGTATAAGCAGACACAATTATATAATAAGATAATTTTCGGTTCCAATCTAAAACAGGTTGCTGAAACTTTTGGGTACAACCATACACAACTAGAAATGTGTGTGTTAAATAAATTTCCGTAAGAAATTGACGAATTCTGATTTTTGGGTTGCCCTCCACAAAGATTTTTCTGTGCTCCCGGAGTATGTGCACCAAGATGCCGCACAACCTGAAACTAGTATGTGTACCAGGTTAAGGTTGTGCGTCATCTTGGTGCAAATACTTCCGGGGGCGTCGATTTTTCTCATTTATTCATTGAAAAGATATGTTATTGGTACAGTTGACTTAGATGGCTGAGGAAGCCATCATATGTATAGGCAGGACCACTGTTTGATAGCGCGGAGCCTAGCAATCTTCACAAAATATTTGTGATAGGCATTGAGTTTGGACCACATTTCTAGTGCTTAGCACATCACGCCAACTAGCTAGAAACAGAGATATTTAAGGAGAGTCCAGAGTTGGATCAATTGTAATTGATGTAATTAATTACAGTTTTTCATGTAATTGAGGCATTTCCATTCTGTATAATTGTAAATGTAATTTGCTAAAATTTTGGCTCCATTATACCAATTATAATCTATCCCGCAATAACACGAAAAAGGGCTAAATATTTTTCTGAGAATCGCCTTCCTTTTTCATTTCGTAACATTAGCCAATCAGCAAGATGCAAAAATGCATCCGTTAGGACACTCAGACAGATTTTCAGCCGTGGTTGTAAACAATACTTCATTTTGCGATTTTGAATGCTATTCGTTAGTTTTTAGTTGTGTTTCGGAAATTTAGGTTTGAATCAAATAAGTGAATCATTATATTGCCTTCTTAGGAGTTGTAGTTTAATTAATAGTAGTAATCAAAAATTAGTCTAGGTATAGCTGTGTAGGCTCAAATAGGCTAAATCCATGGGAACACTGGCTGTCTGGTTTGAGTCTGTAAATATTTGCTACGCGAAACTCGAAATTTTTTTGAGGGTAGCGGTAGCGTCAAGGGTAAGGGCTGCTTCGCTCTGTGTAACGTGTCCATATATTTGAGCATTGCTCTGTTGTAAATGTAATTGTAATTTGATATTTTTGCACGGAGTAATTGCAATTGAACTGAATTAATGTGATTGATCCAACTCTGAAGGAGACTACACGAGGGGGAGACATTTCCCCTCAAAAAAATGTCTTCGCTCCCTTGTGAGTTGCACCACACCATTTGAGAACCACTGTTTCAACATTTTAACTGATTCAAATACTTATTCCTATAAATAATATTGAACAACTTCCTCCACTTATGAAAATTTTGTTTTTTCAGGCTTCGTCGTTTCACCGTTCAGCATATTAAAAAACTTTCAATTTTCGAGAAGTTTGTCTTTTGACGTTTATCATGAATTGATGAATAAAAACGGTCTCCACCAAAGTTTGATGGCATTCATGAGATGGCAACAAATGGAATATCTTCCTTCTTATTATGAAGGGGATTCTGGCGCGATCCCGAGATATAGAGCATTCGTGAAACGCCCTTATCGTTTATTTCACTACAATTTGCCTATTGGGAAAACATCCCTCAATTTTGAAAATGTCATGGTGGATATGGTCACTAAAAAACCAGTGGTTTGTGCTACTGGGATGTTTGTTAATATTGACCCAGAAAAACGAAGGCCAGCTCCATTTCCAAAATGTCTACAAGATCATTATACTGAGGAAAATTGTGAGAAGGTTCCATTTAATTACCAAAAAATGGAACCAAAATGCTCTGTTAAATACGATAAGCCTCAAAATGTTGTGTCGCACACCCTAACGAGCAAGGTTGTTAGTCGACTGGTGGATTCATATAAACACATGAATGACTGTTCTTATGTTATTCTTTGTTTTGATTGCCTTTCTGATGCAATTTTCAGCAATGTTTTCTTGTTAAAGGGTTCGATTATGGATTATAGAATCCGTCGTGTGTCTTTGCTTTATCTAAAAGAATGTGTATTGGGTGATATCATCAACACAGTAGTTTGGCAAAGTGAGCAAAGTAAATGGCAGTTTAAGTTTCATGTCATGAAAAATGATGAAGTCCTCTGCCAGGCTGAAATAGAACTTTTCACAAATGATTTCACTTTTAAATTATAATTATTTAAGTTCAATTTTAATTATTCAATTACAGTGTTCACAATTTCGAGCAATGAAATTAATTTTTGTCTATGATCACTGCTGCCACCTAGAGAGCAAATCTTAAGCAATCGAGCCATATTTGCAGGGATGTGCGGTCCTTGTCATCTTCAGCACCCAACCTTAAAATTCTTATGGACAAAGGGATACCTTTTTTTTTTTCAAAAAGAACACTAGGGCTTACTTTGGGGGGTGTTTTTTATTACAAAGTAGAGGATTACGAGATATTGAAATAAACAAAATATGAAAACTGATATCCTTTTACTTATAAATAACGGTTCCATTACATTTAAACCCACGTACATTTGAACCCATGACAATTGCACCTGCATACTATTGCACCTATGGAAATTTTTTTGTTGTACGGATAGTTGAACCCATACTAACCCTAACCCATGGGTTTCATCACCCGCATATTGATTAAACTCGCGGACATGGGTTCAAATGTACGTGGGTTCAAATGTACGTTCACCATAAATAACATGTTTTATTCTCTCGCACATTTTTGATTAATCATTTAAAACACATACGAGGGATTCCTTGCTATCAACTAGGCCTTATTTTAAGGGAAACCCAGTATGTAGGCATGCTTGCCTGTTGAAAATACTTATTCAACTTGATGCTTTTTTAATTATTCAGTTTGATTACCACTGTTAGAAGTCTAAATTCTGACTTCGAAAATTACATTTTCGACTCCCATGGATGGAACGATTAGCTCGTGAGCATTCCAATGCAGAACATAAAGCAGTTTCAGAATTTGTCAAATTTCGCACCCACCTCGAAAAAAACTGGCTAACAATAAGCTACAAATAACAGATAGTAGGGCAAAAGTATGTTTTAATCAGAAAAACTTTGGATGGTATGTAAATATCTAAAATCAGGCAGGCAAAATGGAATCTAACAAATACACCTCAACCCCCCCTTTTTGGGGCGTGTCCCCCAATTTGAGAACCACTGACTTATAACCAATACTGGTTCGTCTAATATTTAAGGCGTTTTCTTGGTATTTCTCTCATCTGCAACAAGTAATAAAAGTGTTCAGTGTTTGACCTCATGTTCGCACTTATATCTTTCATTCACACAGTAATTATTCTCAATTGCTTAACTATATTCAAACCTTCCAACATGTTTTCATGGATTCAACTTACGGATTCTGTGTTTTTTCCCTGTTAATTTTGTGCAGGTATATATTGTGTTATGCCAATCTAATTATATATGCATGAATATCAAAATGCCAGATAGTGTAAGGAAGTTCATGTTGCCAGTTTTTGATTTTATTTTTTCCAATATAATGTACATCACACTAGATGAACTATCTAGTCAGCTGTTCCCATAGCTAAATGGGAAGTGTGGCTCGCTATCATTATTTGGGCTGGTCATTTCGAATTGGATACTGAATTATTCGTATCGGTTCAGAGAAAATTTTTAAAATTGTAATCTTGTTTTTCCATTTGCCAAAGGTTGAGGTGAATCAGTCATTTTTTGTTGAAGCAATATTTTTTGAATGCACACTGACATATACTTACCGGTAACTCTTTTCCCCCTGGTGATTTATTGGTGGAACATGTTTCTTATCGTGTGTGACTACTCATTGCAGTGTGTAAGTGACAGATTCTGTTTTGAGTTGTGTGTGAGACTGGTGGACCCACACAATTACCAGTCTTCCAAGCATTCAAATCATCAGGCATTCGAAATGCCCAGCCCCAATTATCATACCTCTTAGACAATAAATTCTATTCTTTATGATGATGCTTTTCATATACATACATAGCTGAAACTTGTTTTTTTTAACTGGGGACCGTATGCAATTTTTTGTCAACCTAATTCTTTTTTGATTGAATTCTATTTTTTGATGGTAACTTTTTAATCAAATTTAGATAGTTCAAATTAATTGAAATAAATTTTTAATGCAAATCACGGAACCAATTTCTCCTATTGAAGGGTAGGAAGGGCGTTAGCAAGATAGGACATAGATTGTGGCATGGCCGTGCTGGAATGGCATCATGGGTAAGGAATTCGGTAGGCAATGTTGGACAAGAAAAAATCCAGTCTATCCAACAAAAGGTAGCTCTTTACATGAGTTGACTTTGTACTCAATTGGACAAATTCGAGCCATATTTTTTCTTACAAAATACAACATGGATAACACGGCCTGATCCGTGGCTCCTTTCAAAGACTTTCAACACTTGAAGCCAATCTGTGGCCCCTTCCAAAGACTCAAAACATTTATGGCCTAATCCATGGCCCCTTCCAAACACTCACAAGCTTTGAGTCCCCCTAGTTTAATATATGGTTTTTGCTCTTTGCATCAGGTATTTTACTTTAAAATAATGTGGTCATTGCGAATACGACCCAGTGAAGGTTTTGGTTGGAATTCGACGGAGAACGGCTCTGTGGCCCAGTTTTTTTTGCTTGTGGCCCCTAGAGACCCACGGGGGAGCAGGGGGTCCCAGTTGGAGAAACCTTGTTATAGACAATTAAAAATGAATATTATTTGTTTCAGCTTTTCTTTGAATTTATTTACGATAGATAGTTCTTGGTATACATATGTCGCATCATGGATTTTGTCAAAGGTAGAACTCATACTGAAATTGGACTGCAACATTTGGATTATGGACATGTGATTATTGGTGGAGGTAGGTCATGTATGGATATCTGTGATTCAGGGTGACCCAATAAAAACAGAGTCTAAATATTTGGGCTTGTTTAGTTGCTATTTCTTGATATTCGAATTATCACATCATAGAATATAAGCTCCCAGGGTGACCCAAAAAAACAAAACCCAAGAATTTCAAAATTACCTCTGAGAAAACGAAGATAATCCATTTAACACTTGAACTTCTATTTGGGCGCTCCGGAAGTATGTGTACCAAGATGACGCACGACCTGAACCCTAACCTGGTACACATACTATGTTCAGGTTGTGTGCCATCTTGGTACACATACTTCTGGAGCACCTCTGTTTGTGTATGAATGTGCCCGAGAGTTTCAGTAATCCTGGTAATTCAGTAATCGCTTTGCACAAGAGTTATATTTATTGTATAATATGTTCTCAATAAATAAATCACTACATTTTCTTTATTAGACATACCTCACATCGCTCTGAAAAAGGATCTGTATAAGCAGACACAATTATATAATAAGATAATTTTCGGTTCCAATCTAAAACAGGTTGCTGAAACTTTTGGGTACAACCATACACAACTAGAAATGTGTGTGTTAAATAAATTTCCGTAAGAAATTGACGAATTCTGATTTTTGGGTTGCCCTCCACAAAGATTTTTCTGTGCTCCCGGAGTATGTGCACCAAGATGGCGCACAACCTGAAACTAGTATGTGTACCAGGTTAAGGTTGTGCGTCATCTTGGTGCAAATACTTCCGGGGGCGTCGATTTTTCTCATTTATTCATTGAAAAGATATGTTATTGGTACAGTTGACTTAGATGGCTGAGGAAGCCATCATATGTATAGGCAGGACCACTGTTTGATAGCGCGGAGCCTAGCAATCTTCACAAAATATTTGTGATAGGCATTGAGTTTGGACCACATTTCTAGTGCTTAGCACATCACGCCAACTAGCTAGAAACAGAGATATTTAAGGAGAGTCCAGAGTTGGATCAATTGTAATTGATGCATTTTCATTCTGTATAATTGTAAATGTAATTTGCTAAAATTTTGGCTCCATTATACCAATTATAATCTATCCCGCAATAACACGAAAAAGGGCTAAATATTTTTCTGAGAATCGCCTTCCTTTTTCATTTCGTAACATTAGCCAATCAGCAAGATGCAAAAATGCATCCGTTAGGACACTCAGACAGATTTTCAGCCGTGGTTGTAAACAATACTTCATTTTGCGATTTTGAATGCTATTCGTTAGTTTTTAGTTGTGTTTCGGAAATTTAGGTTTGAATCAAATAAGTGAATCATTATATTGCCTTCTTAGGAGTTGTAGTTTAATTAATAGTAGTAATCAAAAATTAGTCTAGGTATAGCTGTGTAGGCTCAAATAGGCTAAATCCATGGGAACACTGGCTGTCTGGTTTGAGTCTGTAAATATTTGCTACGCGAAACTCGAAATTTTTTTGAGGGTAGCGGTAGCGTCAAGGGTAAGGGCTGCTTCGCTCTGTGTAACGTGTCCATATATTTGAGCATTGCTCTGTTGTAAATGTAATTTGATATTTTTGCACGGAGTAATTGCAATTGAACTGAATTAATGTGATTGATCCAACTCTGAAGGAGACTACACGAGGGGGAGACATGTCCCCTCAAAAAAATGTCTTCGCTCCCTTGTGAGTTGCACCACACCATTTGAGAACCACTGTTTCAACATTTTAACTGATTCAAATACTTATTCCTATAAATAATATTGAACAACTTCCTCCACTTATGAAAATTTTTGTTTTTTCAGGCTTCGTCGTTTCACCGTTCAGCATATTAAAAAACTTTCAATTTTCGAGAAGTTTGTCTTTTGACGTTTATCATGAATTGATGAATAAAAACGGTCTCCACCAAAGTTTGATGGCATTCATGAGATGGCAACAAATGGAATATCTTCCTTCTTATTATGAAGGGGATTCTGGCGCGATCCCGAGATATAGAGCATTCGTGAAACGCCCTTATCGTTTATTTCACTACAATTTGCCTATTGGGAAAACATCCCTCAATTTTGAAAATGTCATGGTGGATATGGTTACTAAAAAACCAGTGGTTTGTGCTACTGGTATGTTCGTTAATATTGATCCTGAAAAAAGAAGGCCAGCACCATTTCCAAAATGCCTACAAGAGCATTATACGGAGGAAAATTGTGAGAAGGTTCCATTTAATTACCAAAAAATGGAACCAAAATGCTCTGTTAAATACGATAAGCCTCAAAATGTTGTGTCGCACACCCTAACGAGCAAGGTTGTTAGTCGACTGGTGGATTCATACAAACACATGAATGACTGTTCTTATGTTATTCTTTGTTTTGATTGCCTTTCTGATGCAATTTTCAGCAATGTTTTCTTGTTAAAGGGTTCAATTATGGATTATAGAATCCGTCGTGTGTCTTTGCTTTATCTAAAAGAATGTGTATTAGGTGATATCATCAACACAGTAGTTTGGCAAAGTGAGCAAAGTAAATGGCAGTTTAAGTTTCATGTCATGAAAAATGATGAAGTCCTCTGCCAGGCTGAAATAGAATTTTTCCCGAATGATTTTGTTTCTAAATTATAATTATGTAAGTTAAATATTTTTAATTATTCAAATCAAGGTGTTTTTAACAATTTAAGGCGATGAAATTTTTAATGAAAATAATTTTTGTCCATAATCTCTGTCGCCACCTAGAGAGCAAATCTTCAGTAATCAGACCTCTTACTCAACTCTTAACCTTGAAAATCTAATTTTTCTCACAAACTTTGGCATAAGCTGCTTTAAATGTCTGTTGTAATGCCCAGTCGTTTCAATTATTTTTTAGTTCCCTAGTTTGATTACCATTGTTAGAAGTCTAACTATGCCAAACTCAAACTAGAACCTCTCTTACTTGAGTAGATTGCTGGTTCCCTATTGTCACATTGACCACTAGTTGTGGCTTTCTGAGCTAATTATGACCCACGGGTAGAGCTGGGCGTTTCGAATCGAATTGTAAATTATTCGAATCGGTTTAGAGCAAATTTTCGAATCGCCGCCATCTTGTTTTACTCTTTCCGCCAATGGTCGGGGTAAATTTCTCAATTTTTTTTTTTATTGAAGCCATATTTTTTCAACACAATTCTGACTTATGACTCTTTTCTGTATTGAGGTATTGTTAAAAACGTGTTTTTTTTGTTGTCAGTGATGTATTCTATGTTTTCAGTAATTTATGTGTCTGAAGGACCTAAAATACTAAGAAATTTCATACCTTCCAAGTATTCGATTCGATTCTGAAATCATCAGGTATTCGAAAATGCCCAACCCTACGGGTCAATTAATTTGTGAGCATTCTCATGCAAAAGACTGCTGACCAGACAAGAAATACGGGTTCGTCTAATTATCAGCCGTTTTATCAATTTTCCCTCATCTGCGATAAGTATTGAAATTGTTCAGCGTTTGGGTTCATGTTAGCAAATATATCTTTCAGTCACACAGTAATTATTATTCGTTATTTAAATATCTTTCAAAATTTTTTTGTGGATTTGGTAATTTTGTGCAGGGTTCTTAGAAGTTTATATTGTGTTGTGCCAATCTAATTATATATGCATGAATATCAATATGCAAGATAGCGTAATGAAGTTCATTTTTTCCAATATATTGTACACCATACTAGAGGAACTATCTGGTCAGCTGTTCCCATAGCTAAATGGGAAGTGTTGCTCGCTATCATTATTTGGGCTGGCCATTTCGAATTGGATAGTGAATTATTCGTATTGGTTCAGAGAAAATTTTTAAAATTGCCATCTTGTTTTTCCATTTGCCAAGGGTTGAGGTGAATCAGTCATTTTTTGTTAAAGCAATATTTTTTGAATGCACACTGACATATACCTACCGGTAACTCTTTTCTCCCTGGTGATTTATTGGTGGAACATGTTTCTTATTGTGTGTGACTACTCATTGAAGTGTGTGAGTGACAGATTCTGTTTTTAGTTGTTTGTGAGACTGGTGGACCCATACAATTACCAGTCTTCCATGCATTCAAATCATCAGGCATTCGATCTAATTATCATACCTCTTAGACAATAAATTTTATTTTTTATCATGATGCTTTTCATATATATGTAACTGAAACTTGTTTTTCTTTTACTGAGGACCATATGCATTTTTAGTCAACTTAATTCTTTTTTGTTTAAATTTTATTTTTTGATGGTGACTTTTCAATCAAATTTAGGTAGTTCAAATTAATTGAAATAAATTTTAATGCAAATCATGGAACCAATTTCTCCTATTGAAGGGTAGGAAGGACGTTAGCAAGATGGCATGGCCGTGCTGGGATGGCAGATTACACATCTTGGGTAAGGAATTGGGTAGGCAATGCTGAACAGGAAAAAAAACAGTCTATCCAACAAAAGGTAGCTCTTTACATGGGTTGACTTTAGACCCAATCACCTGATTGGACAAATTCGAGCCATATTTTTTTTCACAAAATACGACATGGATAACACGGCTCGGTCCATGGCTCCTTTCAAAGACTCTCAACACTTAATGCCCAATCTGTGGCCCCTTCCAAAGACTCTCAACACTTAATGCCCAATCTGTGGCCCCTTCCAAAGACTCTCAACACTTAATGCCCAATCTGTGGCCCCTTCTAAAGACTCGAAACACTTATGGCCCATTATAAACGCTCACAACAACTATGGCCTAATCCATGGCCCCTTCCAAACACCCAAAAGCTTTGAGTCCCCCTAGTTTAATATATAGTTTTTTTCTCTATGCATCAGGTATTTTACTTTAAAATAATGTGGTCATTGCGAATACTACCCAGTGAAGGTTTTAGTTGGAATTCGACGGAGAACTGCTCTGTGGCCCAGTTTTTTTTGCTTGTGGCCCCTAGAGACCCACTTCGTAGCCCCCTGGGGGAACAGAGGTCCCAGTTGGAGAAACCTTGTTATAGACAATTAAAAATGAATATTGTTTGTTTCAGCTTTTATTTGAATTTATTTACGATAGATAGTTCTTGGTATACATATGTCGCATCATGGATTTTGTCAAAGGTAGAACTCATACTGAAATTGGACTGCAACATTTGGATTATGGACATGTGATTATTGGTGGAGGTAGGTCATGTATTGATATCTGTGATTCAGGGTGACCCAATAAAAACAGAGTCTAAATATTTGGGCTTGTTTAGTTGCTATTTCTTGATATTCGAATTATCACATCATAGAATATAAGCTCCCAGGGTGACCCAAAAAAACAAAACCCAAGAATTTCAAAATTACCTCTGAGAAAACGAAGATAATCCATTTAACACTTGAACTTCTATTTGGGCGCTCCGGAAGTATATGTACCAAGATGACGCACGACCTGAACCCTAACCTGGTACACATACTATGTTCAGGTTGTGTGCCATCTTGGTACACATACTTCTGGAGCACCTCTGTTTGTGTATGAATGTGCCCGAGAGTTTCAGTAATCCTGGTAATTCAGTAATCGCTTTGCACAAGAGTTATATTTATTGTATAATATGTTCTCAATGAATAAATCACTACATTTTCTTTATTAGACATACCTCACATCGCTCTGAAAAAGGCTCTGTATAAGCAGACACAATTATATAATAAGATAATTTTCGGTTCCAATCTAAAACAGGTTGCTGAAACTTTTGGGTACAACCATACACAACTAGAAATGTGTGTGTTAAATAAATTTCCGTAAGAAATTGACGAATTCTGATTTTTGGGTTGCCCTCCACAAAGATTTTTCTGTGCTCCCAGAGTATGTGCACCAAGATGGCGCACAACCTGAAACTAGTATGTGTACCAGGTTAAGGTTGTGCGTCATCTTGGTGCAAATACTTCCGGGGGCGTCGATTTTTCTCATTTATTCATTGAAAAGATATGTTATTGGTACAGTTGACTTAGATGGCTGAGGAAGCCATCATATGTATAGGCAGGACCACTGTTTGATAGCGCGGAGCCTAGCAATCTTCACAAAATTTTTGTGATAGGCATTGAGTTTGGACCACATTTCTAGTGCTTAGCACATCACGCCAACTAGCTAGAAACAGAGATATTTAAGGAGAGTCCAGAGTTGGATCAATTGTAATTGATGTAATTAATTACAGTTTTTCATGTAATTGAGGCATTTTCATTCTGTATAATTGTAAATGTAATTTGCTAAAATTTTGGCAATTATAATCTATCCCGCAATAACACGAAAAAGGGCTAAATATTTTTCTGAGGGGCGTTTTCTGAGAATCGCCTTCCTTTTTCATTTCGTAACATTAGCCAATCAGCAAGATGCAAAAATGCATCCGTTAGGACACTCAGACAGATTTTCAGCCGTGGTTGTAAACAATACTTAATTTTGCGATTTTGAATGCTATTCGTTAGTTTTTAGTTGTGTTTCGGAAATTTAGGTTTGAATCAAATAAGTGAATCATTATATTTCCTTCCTAGGAGTTGTAGTTTAATTAATAGTAGTAATCAAAAATTAGTCTAGGTATAGCTGTGATCAAATAGGCTAAATCTATGGGAACACTGGCTGTCTGGTTTGAGTCTGTAAATATTTGCTACGCGAAACTCGAAATTTTTTTGAGGGTAGCGGTAGCGTCAAGGGTAAGGGCTGCTTCGCTCTGTGTAACGTGTCCATATATTTGAGCATTGCTCTGTTGTAAATGTAATTGTAATTTGATATTTTTGCACGGAGTAATTGCAATTGAACTGAATTAATGTGATTGATCCAACTCTGAAGGAGACTACACGAGGGGGAGACATGTCCCCTCAAAAAAATGTCTTCGCTCCCTTGTGAGTTGCACCACACCATTTGAGAACCACTGTTTCAACATTTTAACTGATTCAAATACTTATTCCTATAAATAATATTGAACAACTTCCTCCACTTATGAAAATTTTTGTTTTTTCAGGCTTCGTCGTTTCACCGTTCAGCATATTAAAAAACTTTCAATTTTCGAGAAGTTTGTCTTTTGACGTTTATCATGAATTGATGAATAAAAACGGTCTCCACCAAAGTTTGATGGCATTCATGAGATGGCAACAAATGGAATATCTTCCTTCTTATTATGAAGGGGATTCTGGCGCGATCCCAAGATATAGAGCATTCGTGAAACGCCCTTATCGTTTATTTCACTACAATTTGCCTATTGGGAAAACATCCCTCAATTTTGAAAATGTCATGGTGGATATGGTTACTAAAAAACCAGTGGTTTGTGCTACTGGGATGTTTGTTAATATTGACCCAGAAAAACGTAGGCCAGCTCCATTTCCAAAATGTCTACAAGATCATTATACTGAGGAAAATTGTGAGAAGGTTCCATTTAATTACCAAAAAATGGAACCAAAATGCTCTGTTAAATACGATAAGCCTCAAAATGTTGTGTCGCATACCCTAACGAGCAAGGTTGTTAGTCGACTGGTGGATTCATATAAACACATGAATGACTGTTCTTATGTTATTCTTTGTTTTGATTGCCTTTCTGATGCAATTTCCAGCAATGTTTTCTTGTTAAAGGGTTCGATTATGGATTATAGAATCCGTCGTGTATCTTTGCTTTATCTAAAAGAATGTGTATTGGGTGATATCATCAACACAGTAGTTTGGCAAAGTGAGCAAAGTAAATGGCAGTTTAAGTTTCATGTCATGAAAAATGATGAAGTCCTCTGCCAGGCTGAAATAGAATTTTTCCCAACTAAACCAACTTCTAAATTATAATTATATAAATTCAAATCACAGTGTTCACATCTTCAGGCAATGAAATTTTTATAAAGTCAATTTCTGCCTATAATCTCTGTCGCCACCTAGAGAGCAAATCCTTTCGATCTGTCAGCTTAATCAACTGCTATTCTTAAAAATCTATTTTTTACAAACTTTGGCATAGGCTGCTTTTTGGGGAATGCTTAGTCGACTTAATGCTTTCCTAATTCCCTGCTCAATGCTTACTCAAGTTTTTGATTACCACTGTTAAAATTCTAATGAAGAATTTTGAAATTTTGACTCAATCCGATTTACATCAAAACGAGCCAAACTCGAATTACAACATCACAGCCCTGAGTTTATTTGAGTTGATTGCTGGTTTCCACCTCCTCACATGGACCACTGGTTGTAGCTTCCTTAACTAATCGAGAGTCCACGGACGAGACAATTAGTTTGTGAGTGCCCCGAGTGATAATCACACAATACTCACTGATTTACCTTATGTTTAAGCCGTTTTATTGACTCCCCTCTAATCCCCGATAAGTATTAAAATTGTTTAGTGTCTGGATTCGTGTTAGCACTTTTATATCTTTTAGCCACAAAGTAATTATTCTTCATTGTTTGAGGATATTATAACCGTCCAACATGAATTCACAGAATCACAGGTCTGTTACAGCTTCCTCCACCATCGAGTCTAGCATCTGAAACAAATAACCGGCTAACTCAAACATACCCGACATGGACTGGTAACCTAACGAGAGACCGTGGTTCGCCATATGACTAAGCCATTTTATCGATTTTCCTCTCCCCGGGCATAAATATGTTTATCCTTTCCAAAACTTCAATATTTGTCTCGGTTGATAAAAGTTCATATTGTGTAATGCAAATCTAATTATATATGCATGAATATCAAAATGCCAAATAGTGTAATGAAGTTCATTTTATCTTTGCTAATATATTGTAACTAGAGAAACTAATTGGTCAGCTGTACCCATGGCCCATTGTCAGCCCACTATAGGGGGTGAACAACCTTCATAAAATTTCAAACCCCGCCCCTTATTTTAAGATGTGATACCACACTATAATCTCCCCCTCCCTCCCCCCTAAAATGAAAAGCTGGGAAGCGTGACTCTCTATCAATATTAAGGCTGGGCATTTCAAATCAAATAGTAATTATTCTAATAGGTGCAGACAAAAATTCAATTCAGTGCAATCTTTTTTTTTTATTCGCCAAAGACTGAGATGAATCAGTCATTTTTTGTTTGAGCTATATATTTTGAATGCACACTCTTCTCCCTGGTAATTCATTGGTGAAACATGTTTCTTATTGTTTGTGGCAACTCAGTAAACTGAGTGATAAATGCAATGTTTTCAGTAATTTATGAGTCTGAAAGACCCATTAGAATGAAAAATCACATACGATTGCCAATTTCCAAGTATTCGATTCTGAAATCATCATGTATTCGCTCAGCCCTAATCACATCTTTCGCAGAGGATAAATTCTATCCTTTATGATGGTGGCTTCCCTATAGATTTTGCTAAGAGAATATGCAATTTTTAGTCAACCTAATTCTTTTTTATATGAATTAAATTCTATCCTTTATGATGGTGGCTTCCCTATAGATTTTGCTAAGAGAATATGCAATTTTTAGTCAACCTAATTCTTTTTTATATGAATTATGTTTTTTTGATGGTAACTTTCTAATTAAATTTACATAGTTCAAATTATCTATAATAAATTTTTTAATGCAAATCATGGAACCAATTTCTCCTATTGAAGGGTAGGAAGGGCGTTAGCAAGATAGGACATAGGTTGTGGCATGGCCTTGCTGGGATGGCATCATGGGTAGGACATAGGTTGTGGCATGGCCGTGCTGGGATGGCATCATGGGTAAGGAATTGGGTAGGCAATGTCGGACAAGAAAAAATCCAGTCTATCCAACAAAAGTTAGCTCTTTACATGGGTTGACTTTAGACCCAATTACCTGATTGGACAAATTCGAGCTATATTTTTCTCACAAAATACGACATGGATAACACGGCCCGATCCGTGGCTCCTTTCAAAGTTTCCCAATCTGTGGCCCCTTCTAAAGACTCCAAACACTTATGGCCCATTCGTGCCCCTTCCAAAGACTAAATCTGTTTCCCCTTCTAAGACTCGCAACACTTGTGACCTGATGTGTGAGCCCCATCTACCCAATAAAGGTTTTTACTCGTATCCGGCCGAATTTTTTTCTGCTTGTGGCCCCCTGGAGAAGCGGAGGCCCCAGTTTAAGAATCCCTGTTATAGACAATTAAAAATGAATATTGTTTGTTATAGCTTTTATTTATTTATGCCAAGTATAAATAGCTCACAGCATGGATTTTGTGAAAGGGAGAACTCATACTGAAATTGTGCTGCAACACTTGGATTATGGACATGTGATTGGTGGAGGTAGGTCATGCATGGGAATCTGTAATGCAGGGCCAATAAACACAATCTAATTATTTGTCCATGTTCGGTTACTCTTTCGTGATATTCTACTTATCACATCTTAGAATATAAGCTCCCAATAACCACAGGGTCATCCAGTGGCGTAGCAAGACTCTCGTGGCCCACCCCCGCAAAAATAGTTCGTGGAAATGACCCTAGAACTCCCGGACATAAGCTAAAACATATCGTCAAAACGCATAACATGTCGCTATAAAAAGGCAATGATAACCTAAAATTTGCCGTTTATCTTGGTTACTCCAATTTTTTCATACGTGCTTCCTCTTCTGCCCTTTTTCTGCGTTTCTGTGCACCACTGAGGAGTTTTGCTTTCGACATCATTCTGACAGCCGTCGTAATGTTGCCGGTGAGATCAAACCACAAAACGCCGAAAATCGACGACCTCCTGGCATTGTTACGTAACCAAACGATTTGAGCAGAACTAACATCAACGTTATAAGATGTGCATTACTGGTTTTGCAATGCAGATTTTGGTTTTGCTGTTTGAGTTTCCAAATTCTAACCGCTTGGGCCCCTTTGCGCTGTGGGCCCTCCCGCGACCGCGGGGGTTGGGGGGTGCATGCTACGCCACTGGGGTCACCCTAAAACACGAAACCCACAAGTTTCTTAATTCACCTGACAAAACGAAGAAAATCCTTTTAACAATTGAACTTATATTTGTGTATGAAACGTTTGTGCCCAAACGTTTTAGTAATCCAAGACATTTAGCAGAAAAGTTTATTGTGTAATAAGTTCTCAATGAATCACTATATTTTCGGACCTCCTGAAGTATGCGCACTTATAACGTTGATGTTAGTTCTGCTCAACTTCTGTAGCAGCCCGCAACTAAGATTTTTATTACTTTTTTCAGTGAGAGAGATTTGTTTTGGGGTACAGATTGGTCAGGGAGCCATATGTGGTTAGTGATGGTTGGACCACTGTGAGATGGCGTGGGGCCTGCCTGATAGGCAGTGAGCCTGGACCACGTTTCTCATGCTCAGCACAGCGCACCAACTGTGTAGCTCCAAACAGAGATATTCATGTCCAGTAGTCGGATTCCGGATCTATGGAACCGTCTCACGAAATTTCATAAAATCAGCGAACCGATACGCATTACTGGTTACTGTCAATATTCTGTTTGTAACAGAACCGCACCACTGACGACTAAAATTACTTTTCTGACCGCATTAACGACTTTGTCGTTTCACCGTTCAGCATATTAAAAAACTTTCAATTTTCGAGAGGCTTCTCTAATGCCCACATGTGTGAAATATTGGAAGAAAATGGTATCCGTCAACGTTTGATGACGTTCATCAGATGGCAACAGATGGAATTCCTATTATGGAGGAGATTATGGCGCGACCCCAAGATATAGAGCATTGATAAAACGCCCTTATCGTTTATTTCATTACAATTTGCCTATTGGGAAAACATCTCTCAGATTTGAAAATATCATGGTGGATAATTACAAGCACGTGAATGACTGTTCTTATGTTATTTTTTGTTTTGATTGCCTTTCCGATGCGATTTCCAGCAATGTTTTCTCTTCAAAAGGTTCGATTATGAATTATAGAATCCGCCGTGTTGCTTTGCTTTATCTAAAAGAATATGTATGGGCCATTGGGTGATGCCATCAACACAGTAGTTTGGCAAAGTGAGCAAAATAAATGGGAGTTCAAGTTTCATGTCATGAAAAATGATGAAGTACTCTGTCAGGCTGAAATAGAATTTTTCCCAAATGATTTTGCTTTTAAATTATAATAATAGTTCACTTTGAATTATTCCAATCAGGGTGTCCACAATTTTTATAATGCCACCTAGAGAGCAAATTTTAAGCAACCAAGCCATATTTGCAGGGATGTGGAGTCTCTGTCAACCTTCAAAATTTTGACAATTGTGCAGTAGAAATTTAATGCATTCAACCTGTTGCTAAAACATATATACCTCACATCAATGTTTTATGGAAAAATGGTGCTGGATTACATTTCAAATACTAAAATTAAATGGGAGAAGATTACTGCATGTCAAATAATTGCAACGCTTATCATTTTTTTTATATTATAGTTGTTTGGAATAGCATTCAACGCCACCTATCTGGCTTGCTCTTTTTAGTTTGCTAGTCTAAATTCCGACTTGAAAATTAAAAATTTGACAACCATGCAGATGCATGGAACGATAAACTTGTGACCATTTCCATGATCTCATCTGCGACATATATTAGAATTGCCAATGTTTGACTTCATGTTATTGTTAGCTCTTATACATGTTAGTCACTTATACTGCATTGTTTAGCTATGTTCAAACCTTCCAACATGTTTACGTGAATTCAACTTACGGATTCTCCCAAATTTTGTGCAAGTTTATATTGTGTTATGCCAATCTAATTATATATGCATTAATTTAACTTTGCCAATATATTGTATACCATACAACTAGAGAAATCATCCGGTCAGCTGTTCCCATAACTGGATGAGAAGTGTGGCTTGCTATCATTATTAGGGCTGGGCATTTCGAGTGAATATCAGTGCAGACAAAAATTTTGAATCAGTGGAATCTTTTTTTTTTTTATTCGCCAAAGGTTGAGCGATATTTTTTAAAAGCACACTCTTCTCCCTGGTGATTTATTGGTGGAACATGTTTCTTGTTGTGTGTGACGACTAAGTAAACTGTCTGAGTGTTAAATTCAATGTTTTCAGTAATATATGTGTCTGTGGAGAACCCATTACAATAAAAAATCACATACAATTGCCAATCTTTCAAGTATTCAATTATATTCTAAAATCATCATGTATTCGTAAATGCCCTAATCATCTATCACTCTCACAGATGATATAAATTCGATCCTTTATACAATACAATTTTATTTCGATCTTTCGTCTACAACACAAATAAAAAGAACACAGAACAAGGTCAACTGAAAGATCGGGAAAACGTGCAAAACCTATATAAAGGTTTATAACGAACGCTGTAACCAGCGATTGTGCCCATTCACACACGTGAAACACACCAAGACAATCATACTAGAATAAATTAATGAACAGAGTACATGATCACGAGAAAATAAATTTCACGTATGATGGTGGTTTCCATAAAACTGAGTGATATTTATATATGATAAAAAGTATATTTAACTGTGAAAAAATTATTGCAACTAGAAAATGTAAACTGTCGAACCACATTAAGAAGTGGAAAGTTATCATGAACTCATTTTTTTAAAGTGCAATTGTGTTTATGTGTTATATCGTGTGGATAAAAAGTGATGTTTTAATTAATAAAAAAAAAAAAAAAGATAAATTCAATGTTTTCAGTAATTTATGAGGCTGGATGACCCATTAGAATGAAAAAGTCACATTCGATTGCCAATTTCCAAGTATTTAATTCTGAAATCATCATGTATTCGCTCAGCCCTAATCACATCTTTTGCAGAGGATAAATTCTATCCTTTATGATGGTGGCTTCCCTTTAGATTTTGCTAAGAGAATATGCAATTTTTAGTCAATTTAATTTTTTTTGTTTAAATTCTACATAGTTCAAATTTGAGTGAAATAAGTTCGATAATGCAAATCATGGAATCGCTTTCTCTTATGGAAGGGGCGGGCAATAGCAGTAGAGGACTCTGTAAAATAACCATAGCGACTAGATAGTTTTAAACCAACAGGATAAGCGCGAAACTGAGGTAAACAGTGCCATTTGTTATTTCCGAGCAATGCCAGCTCTCACCCTCCATGCGAGTAGAAACAGCAACCGGATTCTGACCTATTTTTAGCTTTTCATAATTTGCTAGCTAAGAAGTGAAGAGTTTCAGTGACAGCATACGATAGAGCCAATCGTGCTGTTGTTACCCATAAAACAGGATAAATGTGAGCAAATCAGAATGAAAAAAGTTTAATCATCATGAAGAAAAGTCGTTAATGGAATTTTTGGTTCAGTGCAAAACATACAATCAATACACAGTCAGATACATAAAGAAACAATTGCAAAAACATATCATCATTAGCATATATCAAACTTACAATTCACGTTTAGTCAAAAGTATCGTAAACGTTTACATACTCTGGAACGGTGGTTCTCAAACTTCTAGGCCTGAACCTTTTTTTATAAATTATCTGGCACCCCACCTTACAAGTAAAAGATATTGAGGCGAATACATTTTATTCCAAAAACATGTTGAAAATACGTATCCAGAATAAAGCCGGGAAGATCATATCTAGCAGATCTTTTCACTTTCAAGCCCCCTTGTGTATGCGCCCTTTTTGAAGTTCTACCCACCGTTTGAGAACCACTGCTCTAAAATATAAAACATATCATCATTTGCACAATATGCATGCATCATGCAAGGACCAGCCTGGCTCTTGCATGTGTTCGAAAGTACTAACATCTGTAAACGCTTGTATACTATAGAACAGGGGTGGGCAACTTCTCTAGTCGGCGGGCTGCTCTGTTAAATGTTTGTTCAACAAGTGTGCTAACACAATTGTTTGTTCACTAAGGCAATTGTTTATTTCACCAGCGCGCACTAACAGTGCGGTGAGAGTAGAGCGATCGACAACTTTCGGGAATGATGTGTCGGACCACATTACAGAGTGTGGTTGGATACAGTCAGCGGGTCGGTCAAAATCTCGTCGCGGGCCGGACCCATGTTGCCCACTCCTGCTAAGTCTTGTCACCTTAACCACCCCTCCATATCACTCTATACAAAAATTTGTCACTGTTGACATCGTGTATGGATTTTCACGGAATACTATCCACATGTTTCACAGCAGTAAGGGTTTTCTTATTGTGAATTTTCATATGTTTATTCAACTTGCAAGAATGTGAAAAACATTTGCCACATATTTCACATGAGTATGGCTTATCACCTGAATGGATTCGCATGTGTTTGTTCAGAAGATATGGTTGTGAAAAACATTTGCCACACATCTCACATGAGTATGGCTTATCACTTGAATGGATTAGCATGTGTCTGTTCAAATTACTTGATTGTGAAAAACATTTGCCACACATGTTACATGAGTATGGCTTATCACTTGAATGGATTAGCATGTGTCTGTTCAAATTACTTGATTGTGAAAAACATTTGCCACATATCTCACAGGAATAAGGTTTATCACTTGAATGGATTCGCATGTGTGTATTCAAAGAACCTGATTGTGAAAAACATTTGCCACATATCTCACAGGGATAAGGCTTATCACCTGAATGGATTCGCATGTGTGTGTTTAAATGACCTGATTGTGAAAAATATTTGCCACAAATCTCACAGGGATAAGGCTTATCACCTGAATGGATTCGCATGTGTGTGTTCAAATGACCTGATTGTGAAAAATATTTGCCACATATCTCACAGGGATAAGGCTTATCACTTGAATGGATTCGCATGTGTTTGTTCAAACTACCTGATCGTGAAAAACATTTGCCACATATCTTACAGGGATAAGGCTTATCTCCTGAATGGATTGGCATGTGTGTGTTCAAACTATCTGATCGTGAAAAACATTTGCCACATATCTTACAGGAATAAGGCTTATCACCTGAATGGATTCGCATGTGTCTGTTCAAATGACCTAATTGTGAAAAATATTTGCCACATATCTCACAGGGATAAAGCTTATCACCTGAATGGATTCGCATGTGTGTGTTCAAACTACCTGATCGTGAAAAACATTTGCCACATATCTTACAGGAATATGGCTTCTCTCCTGTATGAATTCGAACATGATCATTCACGGCAGCTGTGTTCACGAAACATTTGCCACATACTTCGCAAGAATATGGTTTTTCTTCTGTATGACGTCGTATATGAACATTCAGATTGCCGTATTGTGCAAAACACTTCCCACATATCCTACAAGAGTGCGGTTTTTCTCCAGTATGAGTTCTCATATGAATCTTCAACTTATTTGCTGTTTTAACGGCATTTCCGCATATTTCACAAAATAATTGCTTTTCTTCTGACATACCAGACAGTCATTCAGTTCAATCGAAAAATATCCAATCAGTCAACTATCGCAATCCAGTATGTAACAATATATTCTGGACTAAATCTGAACAATCAATAAAATAGGGTAATGAAATATTAAATATTTATTTGAATATAGTCTGAATCCCAAGTGAGTTTAAATGTAATAGGACTTCCAAAGATAGCCAAATCTTGATATTTCTAGAAAAATCCAATTTGGGAAATGCTCCAACAAAGAACTACATAATTCAGGAATAACATTTGAAAAAAAATGAAGCACACTGAGACACTTCAATCAATCAATCATTTATTTTGGTTCTCTGACATAAACAATACAAAAAGTGAACAGACAAACAAAATGCAGAGATACCTGGGAGACGGGCATAACTTAAAATGCGTACAATGTACGTGCCCGCCGACCAAAAAGAATAACACAAACACAGAGAAACGCGAGAAATTTCCTTCAAGTATTTTGATGCTGTTCTATTAAATACGGAAGAAAAAAAGTTTCACGTAGATTTATTTTGGACATCTTCGCTTGCCGCAGTGCCCTTAAGATAATGGCACCACCTCTCTTTTTTATCAACTCAACAAATTTATTGAAATGTCAAGAGAGATGAAAAACATTGCTTTAGAATAAAAGAAAACACAAATACTACCGTAATTCAATATATTAAAACAAATGAAAAAAGAGAGAAGTTTAAGAGAAGTTGCTTGTGCACCCGCTTACCAAAATTAATGGCAGTAATTTAAAGAAAATCACACTTTTAAATTTAGCTACTGAAAATTTCAAATCGGTCTTGTCTGGTAATTTAAAAGAAAGCAATTTTCATGTCCCAACCTTTCAGTTACCGTAAATGGTTGTTCAAAATGATTGAAATTACAGTTTTATTGTTAAGAATTAATGCTGTGAGTATTATTCTACCTGATTCTTACTTGTGCACAAATGATAACGTTTTGACCACGAGACTGCTGGTAGATCAATGCTGTTGCTCTTATGCAAAAGATACAATTAAATTTAATCAAATACAAGCGGTAACGTTCATGATCACACCTAGACAAGCGATTGCGTGTGTGGTGTGTACGTGCACGCTCTTTATGGTCTGTACCTGTTGCAATTACCGGCAAGTCAGCATTATATCATTTCGTTGCGTGATCAAAGTCTCGATACGCGAAGGGTTAAAACTCAAAAAAAAGTTGCCAAACTAAGGGATCGTCTTATTCGCGCATCAGAATTTGATCGAGCAACGAGATGATATTATGTTAACTTGCCGGTAATTCCAAAAGTTTCGAACCATACCAAGTTCTCACAATAAAAAGCGTGCACGCACACACACAATCGCTTGTGAAGGTGGATTGTCTTATCATACAGCTGATGGCTTGTACAGTCTGTGATTGACAAGACGCTTGATTGGTTTGTTTTCGCTTGTGTTTTTTTTACATAACAGCAACCGTGTCGATTTACGGCCAGTTGTTTCGTGGTGAAAACGTTATTATTTGGTGCACTATCGTCGTAGAAGCAATTAACGGCGCGCGACTTTTAATCACCTTTACGATATGTTATCCGTTAAGGGGCAGTGATAAGGACTCTTATCGAAATTAACCACATTGTGGACGATCAAAGGAAATTGTTTTATGCTGACTCAGGGACTCTCTCAAACTCCCGACAACAATCCCTTCCATTATTACAAATCACGACGCATGAAAAGCAATATAGACTTTATTAACATGAATTTACAAGTAAGAGTTACGAGTAAGGATCTACGACCGTCGCTAACAAACAGAAATGATAAACGTGAGAAATATTTATGTTACAGCAATTTTGTTTTCTTTTTGCGCTTTTCTTTTCTTAAGGCGTCTGGCGTGTTAAGATTCCAAGCGAATTATAAGAATGTGTTAATACAGTGTATTTCTTTCCTTGAAACGGACAAGGAACGAAATTAATCGCAATTGTGGCGATCAAAGGAAATTGTTTTTTGCTGATTCAGGAACTCTATTTGAAACTCTCGACACAATCACAGAAGCAATATAGACTTTATTAACAGAAATTAACAAGTAAGAGTTACGGGTAATAATCCACCTATGGTCCTCGCTAACATGCAGAAGCGATAAACGTGATTGCGTTACATTTTTTTTTCCCATTTTACGTTTTTCTTGAGGCGTCCGGCGTGTAACGATTCGTGGGACCGGCTTATGTGCGATTTTTTATAAAATCGCCGTTTTAAGGGAGTCGGCCTATTCGCGATATAGGCCTAATTTCGAGAAAATACGCTAGTTTTATACATTCATACTTGAAGTCACTAGGAAGTACCCACAGGTTCAACAAATTCAGTTACATGCTTTCGCAAATGCACATTTAAACTGCTGCCCTGAGTAAATGTCTTGCCACATTCTCCACATTTATATGGTTTTTCACCTGTGTGTGTCCTTTCATGAACAGTAAGATATGACTTTAAAGCAAATTTAAACCCACAAGTGTCACATTCGTACGGTTTTACATTACTATGAGTCTGTGTATGAGTTTTCAAACTCGAGGGTTGGGAAAAACATTTCCCGCATGTTAAACATTGATATGGCTTTTCTCCTGTGTGAGTTCTTTTATGTGTTACTAGATATGATTTCAAAGAGAACGTTTTATCACATGAACTACATTTGTAGGGTTTATAACCTGTGTGAATACGTGTGTGCCGCTTTAAAGTCCCACTTTGGGTGAACGACTTTTTACAGAAACTACATGTGAAAAGTTTTGATGGTGATTTATACGTACAAATGGAGCTCGGATACCGAACAACTTCAGATGAATCAGAATTGACAACTGTCTTATTAGCACTGAGTTCATTTTGAAATAAATTATATGGGTTGTGCAACAGATTTGAAAAACTTTGTGTATTAGAAGGCTGAATTTCCAGTGTAGTTTGAAAATTGTCATCATTTGAAGTTGCAGCACTCAGTAAACGTTCACAAACGCCATTTATGGAAGCTTTTTGTTGAAGTTTTGCATTTCTTACACTGTGTTCAATGCTAGTAGAGTTTTCTGATGATTCAGTTTCTGATACAACAGCATCACAATTCTGCTTCAAGTCTTCATTGAATCTTGGTGTGAGTGCTGAGTTTACCTCAATACGGCTCTCCACTTGTGATAAATTTAGCGAATTGTCAAGTGTGGATTGCCCTGCCATCAGATATATAGGATATAAACTTGTCCCAACTGTTGTTGCATTAGTCATAGCTTCTTCAGAGCTAGAAATATTATCAAATCCAGAATCACAAATAATCTCCAAACCAAGGCTTGTTAGGCTTTTTGAGTTGCTGGAATCTTTAGTTTCTTCTCTTATCATATTATTGTGTTCTATAACTCGATGGCTTCGACTGCAATTTTTCGTTTACAATTGTTCAAGGCAATGAAATGCAACTGAAGTGTCAGAAGTAATGTCTTGAAGCTCGTTGAGGTGTAGACCGTAGAATAAATTTTATGATTTCGAGCATAAAGTCAGTAATATGTAAAAAGATGATCGATGCCAAGTTTCAGAAGACAGTGCTAAAATATGCCACTAGTACTGTCATATTTAATCTTCCCAGAATCAATCTATTGGCTGTAGTGATGATATCTCCCAATAAACCTATTGTTTGTGGCAAAATTAGTAGATCTTCAAGTAGATGTTAAATCAGCTATAGCAAAAGGAATAATTTCGCAAAGCAGTGATATTTGTCCAGGTTACCTTCAGCAAATCCACAATAATTCAAGATGGTAAGAATTACAAACAATAATCCAAGAGCCTGGGAGTGGCATGTCGCAAAAAACAGAATATGTGAGACTTTAGCATTGACATCAAAGAATTTCCGTCTTACAAGTTAAGTCCTTGATGTGTTTCTAATTAAGATTTACAGTAAACCTAGGAAAGAAAATCAATAATTACGTAAAAGGTCGCAAATTAAGACAAAATACTTTCAAAATGAAAGAAAGGTAGCAGATAGGATAATTTTATAAAGAATTGTGAAACATATTTTAATGTTTTAAAAAGAACAGGTAACGTGATTGCTCTAGCCATGTGGGAAAATGTAGAACTGAGAGTTGACTTCCCCAGGCAGCTCTGTGACTTTTAGTGGCCGCTTGTCTAGGGCCATGTTAGGAGAGAAATGTGGAAAATATGATGAAAGAGCTAGATGTAAAGGTTCCTGAAATTATTTCATGTCATAAGGAAAAACAAAACAATTTTACAAAGCATGAATGAACATATTGTAGAACGCATATCAAAGAGCACAGGTAACGTGATTGCTCTAATCATTTGCGGAAACGAGAACTGAGCGTTGACTGCGTTTCTCAGGCTGGACAGCTCTGTGACTTTCAGTGGCCGCTTGTCTAGGGCTCTGTTGGGAGAGAAATTGTGGAAAATGTGATCAAAAGCTAGATGTAATGATTTCTGAACCAATTTCAAATCCAGAATCAAAAATCTTGCTAAAATTTTTTTGTTACTTCTCTAATCATATTCTTATTGCGCTCTCCTTAATTATTGTGTTCAATTCAACTCTATGGCATCGATTGTAAAATTGCCCAAGGCAAAAACAAAACAATAGCAAAAACACAAAAGATTTCATCTATTATTACAACCTAGAAACAGTGCAAAATTGACTATTGACAAAATTGAAACTAACAATCTCGAAATAGATAATTATAATAAATAAAAGTTCATTTCTGTGAAATTCATAATTTTTGCAGCGAAATTATTATCATATTTTTTTTCCTTTAAGTAGATATAGATAACACCAAACATGTACAGGGTGTCCATAAAGTCCTTTCACAATTTCAATTTTGTTATGAAGTCAGTTCTCAATATATCTCAACCGGGTTAGTTGTTTTTTAAACAGTAATTGTTCAAGTATTTTTACTTTATTTAATACATCTGTGAAAGCCAAAACAATATATGGTACCAATAAATTAAATTCACTTGGCAATTTTGAAAAAAAAATTTGAAACTTTATAGACACCCTATATGTCTTATATCCTAATTTTGAACAGGACTTTGGTGTCTTTTTATTGATATTGGAGTAAAAGTTGTATCTATAAAATGCCTGGAGCACAAATAGAGTTTAAATTTCCATTAAGATTTGGAATCGGATTTTTCTGGGCAATAATAAAGAAGCTTGATTTTCTTAAGAGTTTTGGAAATGGTGTTTTAATTGTGTGTCACTTGATTTGGACCGGAGATGTGAAATCATACCACCCGTTGGGCCATTGTGCCGCCGACTTGTTGTGAGTTCCCATGAAATTTGAAAAGATTCAAGAACAAAGCATTGTACAAGAAGCTGATACATATGGAACTGCTAATTTTAGAAACTGGAATTCAATATAAAAAATTTTGGACCCCATTGGACATTTATAGCAAAGTACTGTATTCCCATACTGAGAAGTCAAATCATCAAATGAGACAAGGTAAATTTTTAGCACTAAAAATTAGGGTTCTCCATATCTTCCTCAATAAGTGGGGTTGATTGGTCCAAAGCTTATAATGAGCAGACCCCATAAAAGATAAAATAAGACGAGCCACCCAATAAGCCGATATCAGAAAATGCACGTATTAGCTACAAAATATTGTATTTATGACAGAAGAACACCAGCTTCATGACATTCCTACTATAGAATGACTGTTTGACTCAAGCCTTCTTCTGAGCAAAAAATATGAAAAAAACAGGGTGTTAATCAAGTCTCTAAAACTTTTTATAATTGCAAAAGGAAACGATTGCAACAGTCATGTTCCAATTTCAATATGTCAGTTCTCAAGTAGGCTTGTTTTAACTCACGATAATTCATTTTTATTCATTTTTTTTTTACTTCAGTTACACCTGGCTAACAAACTATAATTATAAAGCAAAGGAGGCCAAACTTCTTCCGACCTCGATCGACAATGAAGTCATATACACGCATTGGCCATAATCAATATGTTGGCCACCACTGATATATGGTAACGATACATTCCATTTGCAATTTAAATTATTTTGAGACTTTATGAGCACCCTATATTATATTAAATTAACAAAATAGCTGGGGTTACGTTTCCTTGGGTACTAAACCCATACATTGTAAAGCGACAGTGGCCGCACTATATTTTGCTTGTTTTTTATTATTCGCTGGATGTCCAATATATTCATCATTACATACTGTGACACGATATGTAAAGTTTTTAATATTACAGGGATCAGCCAGTCTGAAATCAGGTGGGTTCCAGTGTCGTTTGCTACAAATCTCCATCAACGCTGAAACTGGGTGTTTACCGCTCAAATCCATTACTGGTTTTGGGCCGTTTGCAACTCGTGCCTTCTTTGAACTTGCGGTCGATGGTAATGTTTCCATAAAGCTGCTGAGTCCTCTTCTATCATTCTTCATATCCAATTGCAGAGGTTCCAACTGTCCCATCATTGTTTTACCAAGTGGTGTCCCAGGGGTCCACCCCATCTTTTCCAGTAACGACTTCCCGATGCCACCAACTTTTTTTGCGTTCTTAACATCATCTGCTTTAAACCATGCTTGTTTCCCACTTTCTAAAACTTCTTTAGGCATTGGGGTTAGCCCTGTGTGCCCAGTAAATTGCCCAGGTGTTTGCTTTTTTTTTGTCCAAGTGTCAAGCTGTTTTTGAGCTTGCTCCATTTTTTCTTGCGCTTTTATGTTAGTAGGGTTGTCTTGTAGTTGTCGCACGGCAGAAATACGGTCTGCGATTGCTGAACTTAAATCCACTTCTAATGGTTCCGTCTCATCCATAAAAACTTTATCACTTGTTACGAGTTCTTTCACAGCGTTTTTTGTTGCCTCGTCTTTCGCTATTGTTTCCCATTTCCCATACACAGTTTCTAAGACTTCTTTTCTCCTATGTTGCTGCCCGCACGATACTGGGAACTCTTTTGTGAGTGTGGAAAGAGCTTTTATCACTGGAGGCGGTGCTGGGGTCCCCATCCTAACTGGTTTTATATTAAATGAAATAGGGGTTTCACGAACTGCGAATGGGTGATGCACGATGGCCTCTTTAGACTTCTTTATATATTCCTCAGCTTTTTCTTTTGTTAGAATTTCATCTTTGTCAACAATTGTTGGTTCTTTTTTATTCACAATATCTTTGCAAATTTCTGTTAATTGATTTACAGACATCGAACCCGATTTTAACAAGGCGCCCATAGAGGTAACAGATGCAGCATTATGAGAAGCCTTGTGTTGAGCTAATGCATTTGCTTTTGCAATTTCAAGCAAGCGAACTTTATCTTTGGTTGTTATTCTAGGTGAAGAACTTCGCCGTGATCGTTTACGATGACGTCTCTCTCGTGATCTTGATCTACTGCGTCTATGTTTATCATACGACCTTGACCTATGACCCCTACGTCGTCTGCTACGTGACCTTGATCGACTTCGTGACCTATGACGTTTTGACCTTTTCACCGGTGACCGACTTTTAGATTTTGAACGGCGAGATGACTTTTTAGGCGAGCGACTTCGTGACCTTGAACGACTTTGATGCAAACGTTTCAATCTCCTTGAAGGTGACCTTGAATTCGATTTTCTATCACCATTGTCCTCATTTTCAGAATGTTTATTTTTCTCATTTTCATTCTTTTCGTTCCCGACACTGCTTTGATTTTTCGACACAGATTTGAGCAAACCATTTGCCTCTTTTTTTAGTCTCTCTCCTTCGCTTTTTGCTTTCAACAACTCAATTTTCATCTTGATAGTAGCAATGTCTTTCTTTGGACCAATAGTAGTAACATTCTCGATTTTTTTGTCACTTTTACTATTCAACTCAATAGTAGATTTTCCATTCTTTAAATCCAAATTAGTTTTATGGTCGATTCCCGCTTCTGGGGCTTTTGCTTTGTCAAGTATTTTGTCTTCTGTATTCAGTTCAACCGGTTCTGACTGGTTACGACCGGTTTTATTCTTTCTCGAATCATATTTACTCTCTTTTTTATCCTTCTTCTTCTTCTTTTTTTTATCCTTCTTCTCTTTTTTATTCTTTTTTACTTTCGGGAAGGACTCAACCCAGTCATTACTTTGATCATCCTCATCGACTTCCACTTTTTTTTCTTCCAATTCGTTAACCTTTGACCCCAGATTTCCCTCGAGTCGTAATTTCATGTTTAATTCCAGTTCACTCATGGCTCCGTTTTCTACATTTTTCGACGCTGCTCGTTTTATTCCGAGTTGTTGTAGTTTCTTCTTAACGAATGCTTCGAACATTTCATCAACGTCGTCAATCTTTTGTTCGTCATTTGCCATTGTCATTATTTATGTTATAGCACCCCCTGGTGGCTTTTCTTTAATACAAAATCAATTTAAATTAATGAGACGTTAAAAATGATAAAGTTATTGTTATAGGTCCTATAGGAGATGTGTTAATATTCATCAACAGGGTAAAATTGAGATTCGCCCGCACTAACTATTAAAACCGGTCTGAGAGCCCAAACACCAAAAGAACCATAATTTAAAAAACTGTGCTTCAAAATACGGATTTATATGATTTTGATTTGGTATAGTTTATTTTGACAGACTCGATTATTATCACAAGATATAAATCTTGAATTTTTCGAAGGGTACTTTACATTATCAACAAAGAATGCTACATCTTAGATTAGAATCTGCTTTCCAAATTATTCAAACTGTGATCCTAAATAAATCCTCATGTTCAGCACCAATATTCAAACCCTAATATGCGATTATTTGGTGATTTTTACTGATTTTTTACTGTTACCATTGATATGGACCTACTACTGTTATATAAATAACTAGGCCCAATGGCCCATATAAGTATGAATCTGAAAGACAAAATGATTTTTAAACTGTAACAAAGCAAGAGTAAAAGAGAAGAGATGCTTTAAAAACCAATACTGATGTTTTCGTTAACTCAACTAAGTGGCGATAAAAGCACGCAAACATATTCTGAAAAATCACCAGTTCCCAACCGGGACTTCCACTAGGTGGGACAGAGCAGTAGAACAAAGACCACAATGCTAGGTGAAAACTCCCCGTTTTTCCTAGTTTCATTGCTTGATAAGGTTATTTCAGAGGGTATCAATCAAAAACAAGAGACCATGAATGTTAAAAGTCGTCGGAAAAGGGGAAATGTGCCATAGAAGGAACCACTTCTATAAATCTTTCTATATGCTATAGAATAGTGTATGCAGTTTAAAAGCATCTCTTTATATATACTCTCTTACTCTTACTTTGTGACATCACAGCAGGTCGGAGAAGCGTGACATTGTCCTTCGGATTCATCATATCGACGATACCCACATAAATGTGGTTATTCAACTGCAACCACTTCTTGTTGACAATTTTTTTCGCTGCAAAATCTTTTCGTTCTGAAACAAGTAGGTTACTTACTGGGGTGCTATTCCCAGTCACAATTTGTTCATTTAGAAGCTTGTTAACATGAAGGCCCTTGTTTCGGTCTTGTTTGACAGGGTAGATTTGGATTGCTTCAAGTCCAACATATTTATGAACATATCTACGTTGAACTCGTAGCACTACAAATATACTGTTGAAAAATTCTCTTTTTGCTTTCTCAGCTTGGCTTATGGATAAATGGGGTGACCTAGCAAAAGTTAGCATGAACAAATTCTGACTAGGTTTACGAAAAATGAATTCAATATGCTGCAACCATAAATGTTGAGGTCTTGAGAATGAATGGAGCATGACCAAAACGATGTAATTTGCTTCAACATTGTGCTTTATTTATCCTCAACATGAATTAACTTGGTGAAAATCACAAGTTATTGAATGATTTTATTGCTGAGTTTTAGCTAAACAATACTGAGTGATTATATAGTTTTCGTAACTATCTGGTTACCATTGAGTTGGTCCTTTGACGTGAATGTCTAGTTATTGATTCTACCAAGCAGAACCAAGTTTTAAACAGTTCTGGCACCCTGCTACAGACATAACTATGTGTTAGTCACACCATCATTAAGTCAATGTGACCGGTAATGACTAATTTTGACCCCAAAAAGTTGCAGCATAAATATTGAAGAAATAGCACCAGTGAACTCTATCAATGCTTCTCAAACTTTCTTTTACCATAATTATCGTACCAATAGCAACTTGCTAACATTATTTGCAGGTTCAAAGTCATATCATAAACTCCATAGAATCATAATTCCGAAATTGCATGAGTCAAGAATTGTTGTTTTACATTTTGAAATCTGGCAGCCAGTGTTAAAATTCTCAGCGAAACCATAATCTAAAATTTTTAACAGAAATTGAAAACAGTATGGCAGGCTATACAGATCAAGCGACATTGTCTCGTTTCAGGGAAACCCATTTTAGCGATGATCAGACATCCCCTCTTTGGGAGACGTCTGGAAATTGTTGTTCTTCAATATCAGTAAAAATACAGTATAATAAGTTGCGCAAAATACTACAAAGAGTGGCAATCTAAAAACGTCATCAATGAATTCCTCTGGAAAAAATAATCTGATTTACTGAAGAAAAAAAATTTTACTGTGGCATTCGAAAGTTTTCAAAAAAAAACGGCAATTTTGGTCATGTGATGACCACGATTAATTTGAATTATTATTGAGACAAGCATGGCGCGATATGACTCATCTGCCGTAGTGCCAGACGCTCCTCGTTTGTTAGACACATGGACTGTTTGTTTTATTGAACCAAATGAAGGGAAATTTTTGGAATTTGGATAGTGTGCCGTACTGGAAAAAGGGGATTTATATTTCAAAATTTTCATGGTCCAAATTCAGCCAGGATTCAGGGCAAACTTAGTCACCCAAGAGAAAAATTTTTCGAATGGCAGGTGAATCTCTCACAGACATCGCAACTTTGATACCAGTCAAAATATCTACAGAATGAAATGGTTGAGAAGCATTGTTGTCATTCAGCAAGTAACCTACTTATGTAAACATAAAATCCATCTCAAATTTAACATCCATTAGTAATCTTTAGAACCTGTATATCAAAATTTTTGTTGCTTGTTCCTGTAATAAATCTTGGTTATGTTGCCATAATGCCCCCTATGTTGTAAAAATGAAATCAGAAAGCAGGAAAGGTAAATCCGTTTTAGTCTTCCTTGAATTTGCAGGTTGAAGATAAGGATTTCAAAAAGTAACCAATATTAAAATGATAAATTCTTGATTTTAGAATGAATTTGGAGTTTTCTTAATTGACAAATGTCCTACAAGTGATATAAAAGAGCATTATGACAACATAACCTTGGTCCAAGATCATATACTTGGATATTGATCAAGTTTTACTTTTTTAACTTGGAAAAAAGTAGTTACAGTACATTACGCTAAGTAGGCATGTTTCATGAACTCTAGGTACAGAGGTATCGCATGAGATACAACACACTGTTTTCACTGACTTGTGGTCTAGAAATAAACGTTGTAACTGCTTAACTAACGCTGAACAAAATTGATGTGAAATGAAAGCGACGTAACTGATTAATAGACTTTTCTTGGTGCTCCCGAAGTATGCGAACCAAGATGGCGGACATCGGAACGTAACATGGGTAACAGGTTAGGGTTAGGCGATAATTTTTTTCCAATTTTCCTTATTTTAATCCTATTATCAGTTCGAAAACTAGCCAAGAGCCTCCCGTAGTATTTATAGCTAAAATTATGGCCTAACCCTAACCTAGTACACATATTACATTCCGATGTCCGCCATCTTGGTTCGCATACTTCGGGAGCCCCCTTTTCTTTATAAATTTTGGTTGTATTTTCACATCACATTTTTGTTTGGTGTTTACTTCGTTAGACCCCTGGGTTGTTTTTTGGGTTAAATTAGGAACAAATCGTACCCAAAATAAAACATCCATTGGAGAAACGGTACCGTGTTCGTATTAATCAGACCGAATGTCAATAAACAGATAAACCGGAACTGATAAAGAGGGCTATCACACTAACCTAACAGTACACATACAATTACAACTAATTACAGTAATGTTTATTACTGTATTACCCACAGAGTAAGACGTAAGTAAGAAGAAATTGATCGGTTAGGACATAAATCGAGAAGTAAAGCTAAATTTATAACAAACAATATTTACAAACGTCACGTAAAGACCAAAATAGCAGACGGCAGACGCAAATTCAGCAAAACGAGGCGACCAGACATTTGTTTGATATTTATTTTATGTCGGTTTTTGTCTACAACTATCGGGGAAAGTTAGAAATGGAAAGACTTTAATTACGATTTCCCGGCTTTCTTATTGCTTATATAACTCAGTTTAAAAAAATAAAATTACTTAACCATAATTAAACATAGAATATTACATAAACTGGGAAATATACATTTAAAAGATGAATGCGGCGTTTCGTTTTATGTGATACGCTAGGTAGCGGACTAACATAAAGCAGATTTACAGATCGATATTGCAAGTATTGTATGACTGCTGGTATGATAGAAAATTATATTTTAATAACTCGCCGAATGTAGCAAGTTTTTTTTCGTTGTTCATATGCTTCGTGTATACTTACTTGTTTCTAATTTTTTTATGTAATTTTAAATTATCAAAATATAAAAAAAAAAATTAATTCGAACGATACGGTAATTGGCATAAAAAGAGGAGGTAAAGAGGAATATTTCACATTGTGGCATTTGGTGTGGTACGGTATTTTAAATTATTGATAGCGTAATTTTATTCTGTTATACCGGTATTAAAGTATATTAGTGGAGCCATTATACCCGTTATTGATAGGCAGATTTGACATAAAAATTATGTTAGATAAGTAAATATAATATTAGTTGCATTGTGCCTATCAGCCAATGAAAATGTTTTTTTGAGGATTTTTCATATTTCTATGTTTCAGTGTTTATTGTATTTTAGACTAGGTAAAGAAAGACAGGGTCAGATAGTTATGAAGTGTCTCAGTTGGAGAGTGTGGAGGCGTCTAGGATTGATTTAAATGAATAAACTTGGCTTCAACACAATTCCTAAACAATACCTTCATATTAATTTGCCTCCCCCCACACTCTTTTTGTATTAGATTAAATATGTTAGTATTAGCATAAGCGTTTTAAAAGTACAATGGCCCAATCGTTTAATGAATTTGTATATTTTTAATTTTTTTTCATATCTGACCCAAGCCTTTTAACCTAGGTTTGTGTTTTTTGCGTAATTTTTTATGTGTGTATTCTTGAGCGGACACGTGATATACCTACTCTAAATTTCGATCTTTTTTTTTGTCACATCTTAGTCGAGTTAATCACGGAGCTAAGTCTCATTGGGCTATTAGTTAATGACGAGTCGTAGTTATTTCATTTAGACGTCTCGAGTCTTTGATAATTAGTAATTAAGAGTTGAGCCCATTCAATACACATAGGATACTCAATAGGATTTACATATTTATCTTGGGGGAGAGGAAAGCCAATAAGACGGCTCAATCATAATATGGCGGACCACGGCCTCTCGTTCTGATACCAGTCCATATTGAGTATGGGCTTCACTACCCAGTTATTTGTTTTCAGATGCATGGACTTGATGATGGAGAAAGCCGTAACCGACCAGCGGCTACGTGGACCATCCATCACTGGTACTGCAATATGACTGTGGTTCACCTTATGATTAAGCTGTCTTATCAACTTTCCTCGCCGTCTTAAAAAATATGAAATTTTAGATTTGTATTCATTTACCTCTTCTCAGTAATTACCACGAGATGGAGCCAAACCACGACTCATCATCCTTTGACGTAAAAGACCATGCATATGAAATCTTATCACAACTTGATTCTATGAGAAAGGCCAATGAACATTGTGATCTCACAATAAAAGTTGGGTGTAAAGAAATTCGAGTCCACAGGGTTGTTATGTCAGCAGCTTCTGTATATTTCCACTCCATTTTGGCACATGACAATATTGAAACACGAACTGGTGTAATAGAAATGAAAAATGCAGATTTGGAATCTGTTACAAAATGTGTTGATTTCATTTATTCCGGTCAAGTGTTGATAACTGATGAAAATTACGACCAATTAATGAAGGTGGCCCATATGCTTCAACTGGAAAAATTGTGCAATAAAATTGCAACCTTTCTTGAAGGCAAGACAACTCTCGAGGAATTTTTAACAATCAATACGTTTGCAAGAATATTTGATTGCAAAAGATTGATCCTAAAATGCAATGAATTCACTTCTAAAAATTTTCGAACGTTCATATTCACGAATGATTTTCAATATTTCGATAAATCACTTATATCTTTTGTGATTGCGTCCAGAGAAACAAAAGCTACTGAAGACTATAAAACAAAAGCCCTTATTGAGTGGACAAAATTTGACTTGGAAAGTCGGGAACCAAACTTCGAAGACGTGTTTTTAACACTGGACTTTTCTAAATTTTCAAGAAGTTATCGAAAGTTTTTAATTGAAAATGAACCACTTGTTTTGAAATCGAATCGATGTGTTAGCGCACTAGTAAAGCACTCGAATGATCTCGCCAAAGTAAGAGCAAAAGATGTCAATTTAAAGGATGTTTTTGAAAACAATGTTATCGGGGTCTTCAATAAAATAACTGGAAAAATTGAAGCTTTTGAACCTGAGCACAAGACATGGACAAACATAGCGGTAATTATATTATTACTGATGAATAGGATAGGATTTACATATTTATCCCGGGGGAGAGGAAAGCCGATAAGACGGCTTATCCATATGGCGGACCACACGGCCTCTTGTCCGGTTACCATTCCAAGTCGGGTATGGGATTAGATATATATTGTTTGTTTTCGGAAGCATGGACTTGGTGGTGGAGGAAGCCGTAACCGACCAGCGGTTACGTGAACCACCCAACGACAGCGAGGAGTCCAGCAATCCTCTCGCACATAACCATCCCTGCATGGGATTCGAACCTGCGAACCCACGCAGAGTAATTAGAGGTGCGGTGGCGAGCGTATTCCTAACGCTTAGCCCGTTGCTTTATAGGTTTGCTCAAATGCCTGAGCCCCCCCTCATCTATAAGTGTAAGAAGCATTATAATAGGCCTAAGAAGTACTTTATTACCACTGTTAGTATTTTTGCACAGCGTGATGACTTAGCAGTTTAAACTGTTAGCTTTAAATGTGTTGACATTGCAGATAATACAGGGTGTACATAAAGTCTCTTTTGTTTTTCAATCAGGAAATATTTAAGTATTTTTGCTTCATTTAATACATCTATGAGGGTCAAAACAATATATGGTATCGATAAATTCCCTTTGCAATTTAAAAAAATTCTAAGACCTAATGGACACCCAATATTTCTCAGGTTCAATTCCCACACATCCATCTCACTCAGGGTGTAATAAATTGGGAAAGCAATGCTGAAACGAAAAGATTCCCGTTCTTTCAAATAATAGCAGCCCCCTACATATTGTCATATATCAGTGGCCGCCTGTATAGGGCTTTGTTTGGTGCAAAAGGCATCAAAAGTGCCGTAATAAAATAATTCCAATTTGATATATTTATTTTTCTGCAGGATACTTCTAACCAGTTTATTCACTATTGCTTTACTGTGGTGAGACTTGGAAAGGTTTTATACGTCCTTGCTTTTGGTCGCAAAAGTTATAAGTTAAATTACACAGGAGATTGTGCGATTTGGGAAGAACTACCTTACCGGTATGTGACGTGTAAAAGACTTGAAGCAGTAGGGTTTAAGGACTCTGTATATGTATTCGATGATATGGATAAGCACAGCAAAGCTGTTGAAAAGTACGATTCATACTTAGAGGATTGGGAACAGGAGACTGATAAACCTATCAATGGATGGCTCGTTTCTCTTGTCTCTACAAATGATTATATATATTGCATTGGAGGATATAATGAAAACGGAGATCTTTCAAGTGTTACGCAATATAATGGTTTGGATTGGACAACTTTACCCGATATGCCAACAGCAAGGCATGGAGCTGCGTCTGTGGAATGCAATGGGAGGATTTATGTAATGGGTAAGTAGACTATGACAACAATGTAGTGTCCTGTATACTTTGTGAAATAAAATTATTGGTGGAGGGAAACAATGACCTATCCTCTAAAGCAGTGGTTCCCAAAATGCAGCCCACAGGCCAATCACAGCCTGTGTGATGATTTAATATGGCCTTCCGAACTATAGTGAAATGTTTATATCTTGAGTTATACTCGTCTTCCAGGTCCAGGTTTTGTTTGTCCGTTTATTGTTGTTTTGTTTTATTTTAGTGCGACCAAAATAAAATTTATTGATTGATTAAATTAAGAAATTCATGGGTTTCTTTTTTTGGATCACCCTGTCTATAGCCTTATTTCAGGAGGGGTATCAGGAGATGACTGCCTGGCCACCACGGAATACTTTGACATCAGCAATGGAACATGGACAACTTTGAAGCCGATGTTAAAACCAAGGACAGTTTTCAAAGCTTTCGTTTTGGGAGGAGACATCTTTGTTGCGCAATATAATGTCTCAATCATGGAATTTGAAAAATTTGATTTGGTTGAAAATATTTGGCAAATTATTGAAACGTTCACTGGTACTGATGTGCAGTATCGTTCATTTTTCGCGTTAACTTTGCCAATACAGTGAAATACCGTCAAAAAACACCAAAAACCTTGCAAAAACAGTGAAAAATAGGCTGAGTGTTATAATATATATTCACGAACACATTTGTCTGTTCAAACTGCTGTAACTTTACCAAATTATCTAATGGTCAGAATGTTTGCATAAATTTGATTATTTTGCTGATATCTCTCAGCTATCTATTTTCACTGATTCATTTTCACTATATATTCATTGTACATTATTTCACCTTTAATATTACAGCATTAGGCTTGGCCAAAGAGCTCTGGTTCAGCAGCTTCAGAGCTGCTTGCCCAGAGTATTTTTTTAACCTTGCTTTGAGGAAAAGTGTGAAATAGGCTACGATATGAAATTAATAGTTATGCAGACTTGTAAGAACACCTGGTTAGCTTTGCTATGCGCACAAAATTCTGTGCACTGCCACAAAATATTTATGAAAAATCTTTAACTGTTTCATTTTTACCTGAATTAATTTTTATCTAATGCATTAATTGAATGTGGGTGGTATAGATGCGGCTCACTGTCAATAAATCGCTCTGATTGTTTTTTTTTCTCTATACATAAGGAGCGAGGGCTTATAAAGCACTACCTGACCATACATTAGGCACACTGTCTTATAAAGCACCTTATAGTCTGGTTCCCCTTATCATTATGTTTAAAATATTGCCTTGCTCTACTAACCATGCTTTAAGAACATTGGTAAATGTTTTTTTCACCTTTTTTGCACTAATAATTGCGCATCCTTGTTTGATAGGATAGGACAGGGCTACTCAACTGGCGGACCGCGGTCCGAATCCGGACCTTTCGAGTATTGGATTTGGACCGCACCTAATTATTTATTTTGGATCATTAGCCCAACTTTTTGAATTTCCTATTATAAAATGACTTTCATAGTTTTGCATGTATACGAAAAGAACTATACCACCATAATAAACAATTTTAATTGGCTACTAATCATTAGTCGGTCGAGGAAGTGCTCGCTTAAGGATGCCGAAATATCATTTCTGGAAAGACCGGACCCAAATAATTTTGAAGTTTTGTTTGCGGACCTTCAATAAATATAGTTGAGTAGCCCTGGGATAGGATATTCGGTACTTCATAAGTATGTGTACCAGGTTACGAGTTCGGGGACTGTCTGTGTTAGCTAAGTGAATATACCCCCTGCCCATAGGTTTCAGCCCCTTTACACAACTTGATGTAAAGTAGGCAAAAAAAAATTAGTTACCTCCATATTGGTACACATATTTCTGGAGCGCTGGATTTTACGTAAATATTCTAGAGGTAGGAAAGCATATAATATAATTTAATCTTTTGAGCAGAGAATTTGAAATGAATATAATAAAATACTTTATAGAAACATTGTTGGATAATGAAAAATTTGAGAACTGCTGTCTTGAATTTGGGTTTTCCTAAAATCTATTAATTTATTCAACACCTTGTTTCATTACATTATGGTAGTAACGGCCCGGCCTGTAACAAGAAATTTAGCCGATACAGGATAAAGCTATGCTTTCCTAATCACAATCATTCTTTCTATTTCCAGAATCAATTTATATATTTATGTAGCATAATAATTTATAAGTTTATTAAAAATGGACATGACCCTCATAATTCCTATATGGTTTGTAACACCTGGAAGATGCAGTGGTATCATATTGGTTCTCTGCTTTGCTGTCGTATTCTGGACATTGCTTTGAAGAATTTGGTGAGGTTTGTTTTCTTTGATATTTTTGGGTCATGGATATCAGGATTGGCCAATTTCTTCATTGGAAAAGTTGATATAATTCGGAAATCTCGTATTCATGATTACTAAATTTTAATCATTGCAGATGTAACTTGCATTGTATAAAAGAAGATGAATCTATAAAAGTCACTCTTACATGACATTTTAAGGACAGTTTTTGATTTTCAATTTATGTACGCGATACCGAAACTAGAATATTTAGATTATTTCAAACATATTTGCGTTTTACCGTAAAGTATCCTCACATATAAGTCGACGTCATAAAGATGTGAATTCATAAAAATTTGCATATTAGCCGACCCTACAAATTGTACGCTCTTATTGTGAGAACGTATCACGGTTCGAGTTGTAGCTGTTGAAATTAAGCAAGAATAATGTCACTTCGTATGAGTGCAATCAGAGTTTTGGACGTATAAGTATAGTTTGGCAACTTTTTTTTACTTTTCAACTCCGCCATAATTTTATTCAAATTTTCCTTATTTTAGTTCTATTATGAGTTCTGGGACTAGCCAAGTGACTCCCGCAGTATTTGTACCTGAAATTATGGCCTAACATTAACCTGGTACACATACTACGTTTTGGTGTCCGCCATCTTGGTTCACATACTCTGGGAGTACCGATACTAGTACATAGCCTTTTTCAAAGTGCAAAGCATATATATCATTGTATATAAAAAAGGAGTTTTATAAAAGTCATTCATGCAGGACATTTTAGGGACAGTTTTTAACTTTTGAATATAAATCAAATCGTTATCTCTCTGCAACTGAAAAAGCAAAAACTCTCGAACTAATCAATTATTTATGTTGTGTAGTTTATCACCCGTGGCTCTCCGTAGATCAGACTGTTGCATCATGTCAGACTTGAAATTTAGATAAATTTTATTAAGGATGTATATTTTTCTTGTGGGTTGTTGAAAGTTTTTCTTCCGTTGCGATTTTCGTATTCGTTATCGCAAAATGCTTGTCTGATGAAATTCGACTTTGGTCAAATGAAATGTTGCAGCAAAAAATTTGGGAAAGTGGGATTGTTTTTGTTACTTGCTATCTCTAATCGTTGTCCTAAAATGCTTCTATGAAATGTAACGATATTTAAGTTCCTTATCGTTATCTCAAAATGCTTGCCTGATGGAAACTGACTTTGGTTAAATGAAATGTTGCAGAAAAAAACAAGGGAAAGTGGGATTAGGATTGTCAGTTTTCATTTTTGCCATTTGCTATCTCTAATCGTTGTCGTAAAATGCTTGTCTGAAGAATTCCAGTCATGGTCAAATGAAATGTAAACAAATTTAAATTTATGGAAGTTTGAAACCAAACTTTTGAAGCATTCAATTAGTTCAGGATTGTGTCTTCTTCTTAAGTTTTCAAATTCTTTTCCTCTGTTTATTTCTTCATTATTGTTGCAAACTGCTTGTGTAAGGAGGTCTAACTCTGGTAAGAGGAAATGTTACAGAAGTTAAAGTTTTGAAAGTGATGTGAAAAATTAAAATAAGTCACTATATCTTCATGTTGTCGCATCTACAACGACATAAATAAATGTTATTTCTGTGTGGTTACCAATTGAGATATTGTATGTTTTGATCTTCTTGTCTGACAGCACAAAGTCTCTAATTTTCAAATATAAATATTCTGTATTTTTTCTAAATTCAAAAATTTCTTTTATAGAATTTAATGAAATTTGAATGTATTCGATTCGTTTTGCACATTCCTGGACACATTAAAAAGAAAATTTGACTTTATCAGCATTTTGTTTTTATGTTTTTTTTATTTGAAATATCAACAGTGCATTCGCCAGTAACCTTGGCCTCTGCAAAATGGTATTTATAAATGAAATACAAATAAGATTTTACCCTAAATTATGACATAAAAACTTTTCTAATTTATTCTCCTTGTGTGAAGGTCAAAGCTGCCATTTCTAAACACTGAAATATCAGTCCTGTCGCAAAAGTTATGAAATAAATCGTGCTCTCTCTCTCATGAATTAAACATGATTTTCCTCTATGAGGTTCATCCCTTTGGGACTTGATGTTGGGCTTGTAACGCCTTATGTCACGGATTGTGGGCTGCGTGGTGTTGCTGTGCTTCATGGTGGGTTTCAGTGTGAAGAATTAGATTTAGGAATGTAGGTTTGGTTTGAGTTCTGTTTCAAAAATTGAGTGATATGGCCGAAAGGAATGTTTGAAATTCTTGATTTTATGAATGAATAGTACGATATTTTTTCAGAATAGTGTTTTTTTGAAAATTATCAATTTAAGTAATTGAAATTGTGTTGTTAGAGCTTTGCTTGTTTTTTAAAAAAAAATATCTGGAATCTATAAGTTATTAATATTTATTATAAATGAAATTAAATATTAAACATCTATTTAGCATACAGGTGAACTATATGACTAAGGTTGGTTTAGATGTTACTATTAGGTCACAGTACGAGAATTAAATCATTTAAATGTATATATTGTTGTGTCATAATATGTTGTGAATTGTTTAGTCATAAATGTAATTATTATGATTCAACAATGACAAATATGGCCTGTTAGTATACTCTCATCTAATGGGTTCAGTGATCTTATTTTGCAGATGACCAATGCGGAAGTTTAAATCTAATTTTTTATTAGGTAGCCATTTTTTCTATTTCTAAAAATCAAATCTCTATATTAAATTTAAATATTGAAACCAAACTTTTGCAGCGCTACTGGAATTGTGTGATTCAGTAATGCAGACAAACAATTTTCTTTTTAACTTTCTATAAGCTATAGTGTTGAAAGTTTTGCATGTTTTATTTCTCTTTGAATTGTGCAATTGAATGGATAGTTTTTAATATATATATATAGTTTTTCTATTAGCTAATAATTGAGAATGTGCAGGGATCAGCTTTTATGAAATTATTAAGTCTTTTGCTTCCGAAATGAAAAAGGGTGTTCAATTATAGCTGTATAAATTAATATTCATTTGGAAATGGTATTTTAAAATATTGGACATCAAATATGTCTCGCAAATATTTTCATATGCTTTTTGTGTTAGTATTTTTACTTTTATCATGATTCAATGATTTTTTCATTTATACTTTTGTATAATTTAATGCTAGACTATTTCATTTCACGGGTGTCGCTGCTCGATAACCACTTCTGGTTTATCGCGACTCCTTTCACCTCGGAATGCAACCTTTCATCTTTTTTCCTGATCTCGTATGTAAAAAGTGTATTTTCGATGTGGTGATAAAATAAACTACTGTTTACTGAAATTTGGAATTGAGAAGATGAAATTGCATATATGAGCGAAAAAGACTTTAACAAGCGGCCATTAATATGAATAGATGTAGCTCATTTTTGGAAGTATTAGGATTTAAGAGTAATATAATTTTTGTTTTCTATGTGTTAGTTAGTGTGGTGATCTGGTATTCAATATTCATTTAGGACAGTGGTGTGCAACAGTTGGCCCACAGTATATAAGACTAAATCATAATCTGCCCAAATATTTGATTCATTTTTAGGATTTCCTTGGTAAGACTTCCTGAGCCATGAATACCTCCATAACCGTTCCATAATATTGTACAAGTTACCTGTTAATGGGCATTTATATGGTTCAAGAATTGTCACCGCCCCTTTTGCAAATATCAAAATTTTCCTCTTGTGTTTGCCGACGCTTCTACCGGCACCGGTTCAGCGTGTTTATTTAAATTTTTGATGTGGTAAAGATAGGTATGTTTTGAGAAGGGATGACCATAACCGATTATTTGTATATTTTAAGTTTTTCTGATTTTGTTTTGAATTAAGCCAAGAAAGTGATACTAAACAGAGTGTCCAAAAAATTTTGCCTGTATTTTACAGTAATAACAATTAAAAATATTGCCCGATTTCATAGTAATAACAATTGTAAGTTTAAATAAATTTTATTGTATGATAAATAAGAACTACAAGCACAATAAGAACTAATAATAAACAAAGATACGCAATTTTATAATATTTATTGCTATAAAATAGGGTGACATTTTTCGGACACCAAAAAATAGATGATTTTAAAAACTCAGCTGTTGAATATTTTCTATTCCTGAATTAAATTAGATTCTGTCAGAAATTTGTTGTATTTATTTTAAATTTTGATGTGGTTAAGATAGGTATGTTCTGGAAAGAGA